GATGCTGCAGAGCACCGACAATTCAGAGCCCTGATTGGAGCACTCGCTTGGCCGGCAAATCAGTGTATGCCGGAACTTTGCGCCTCCATCAGTTTGCTGCAAGCTTCAGCCAGTGGACCGTGTGTGAAAGACTTGTTGGAAGCAAACAAGGTGTTACGATTTGCCAAGGAAGCTGCTCAGCAACACCTCTTTCGAATCAGGTCTCATGGAAGCTTGGCTGATCTATGTCTTGGCGCCTACACCGACGCCAGCTGGGCAGTACGCCCGGACGGCAGCAGTCAGGGAGGCATGGTCATTTTTGCTTGCAACCACCAAGAGATCGAAAGCGATCAGCTCATGGCACTCACCATCGTGCACTGGAGCTCAAAGAAGTTGGCTCGTGTTTGCAGGTCAAGTCTGTCAGCAGAGGCTCAGGCCGCAGCAATGACGGTCGATGAACTTGAATGGACAAAGATCTTCCTGTCCCTCATCACTGACTTGAACCTGGACATCCAAGGCAACGATGCTTTGAGAAAGTTTGGAACTTCACCCCTGGCAACGGACGCCAAAGCATTGTTCGATGCCGCGCAGGCAAAAGCTTCAGGTTTCAGATTGAGTGAAAGAAGGACGGCAATCGAAGTTGCTATCATTCGACAAAGAATGGAAGCTCTACAAGGCCGTTGGTTCTGGGTGAATTCGCTTCAGATGATCGCCGACGGTTTGACAAAGCCAACAGCTAAGGACGCCTTCCTTCAGATCCTTCCACGTGGCACACACCAGCTGAAATACAATCCTGAGATTGTTGCTGCAAAGAAAGTTTCAGTTGAAGAGCGTGAAGCTGAACGGTTGCGCCACGAACAGTTTGCTCAGGAGCTCGACGACCACCACGCCTTTGTGAATGAGGAGATCGATGAGGCCAAAAAGAAAGAACTTGGTTTGTGTCTTTTGGAAGGCTGCTCAAAACCATGTGGCAAGAGCAATGAGAAGAACTTGTTTTGCAGCCGCCGCCATTTTTACACTCACCAAAGTCGCACTCAAGGCCGACAAGACACTTGGCACCGAGCTGCACTTGCCGCTGCTGCGACCTTGATGTTGGAAGAGCTGCCCATGGCTGAAGCCGCTGAGATTGGAGGTGGCAGTCAGGTCGTGGTGGATTGGAAATTCCTGCTCACCATTGGTGTCATGTTTCTTTTGGCATGTGTTGGCGTAGAGGTCATCATGTACCGGGCCTATTTGTTTGTGAAGGACCATGTTTTGTTTTTCCTCAGAGAGCGTGTGATTGTGAACAACCCCGCTCATGCGAATGACGACGCCTCAAGCCATGTCGCCGCTGAAGAGCATGAGGTCCTCGAGAATGACGGCCCCATTTTGAATGCCCTCACGCTCGCTCGCCGCCCTGGTCTGGATAGTGGGAGCACGAGCACCAACACCGACTCTGAGATGAGCCAGTCGGAGTGGGAAAGATGGAGTGCTTTGAAGATGCAAGTCCAGCATGAGCGTGCTCAGCAACCTTGGAGGCTGCTTTTGGCCGCTTTGGATGACCAGGCAGGAGACCTTGATCCTGCCACTCGTGCTGCTTTGACTGCTGAGTCATTCACGACTCAAAGGTGGCGAAAGTTTTGCGAGCTGCTGAAAGAAGACTCGTCCCAGAACTACACGGACGAGCAAATTAAGCAGTGGCATAGGATGTGGAATGACAACCTTTGTTTCTTGGCTGATGTCAACAAGAAGATTGTGAGCCAGCGCCGGCGACTGGCTGAATTGGAAGAGCGAGACCACTTTCGCGAACAAGTTCGTCTGGGTCAGAGAAGTGACATGATGAGCCAGACCCCGCTCACATGTGTGACAGGTGAAAAGCCTCGAAAGCTACCAGCCCGAGAACATGGAGCTTGGCTGCACGCCAACGAGTTCTCTGGAAATGTTTGAATGTGGAATGGCCCTCTTTTGAATTTCTTCAAGCATACACCGGTAAGTCCATTGCAAAAAGCTTTGGCCCGTGTCAATGTGCGAATGCTCATTCATGAATTTTACATGTCAGGATTTGCAATGTGTGTTTTCGCCGCATCCGCGGCCATCTTATGTGTTCGACGCCTTTAGGGCCCTTGAGACCGCCAGTGGCTCGACATCTTGGAAAAGCAGTGCGTTGATCATCGATCACCACCTTCGTTTGTCGTTAGCACGTGGACCTCGAGAGCTACGTCGCTTTGATATGCAATATATATACATATACATACAGTATGAGAAGGTTCCACCTCTTGGGAAACAGCCTGGGATGTCTTGGCTTTGTGTTGTCGGGTGTCCCTCCGCGCACGACGTGACGGCCGAAGGATTTCTGCAATCTGGTTCAGGAAGATTTGAATGAAGTGCATCAGTGGTAGTGGATTGAAACCAATGCTTTGTGGACCGCTAGAGTATCCAAAGTTTGTTGCTCACTGATTGTTGTTTCTCTTCATGTTCTTATCGTAGTGCAGGACTAGAATTGGCACAAAGCACGCCCACGCGTCCACTTGAAACTCTACCATTTGCGGTCATATCTCTCTTCTACCAGCTCGTTTGTTGGGGAAGGACATGATTGAAGCATTTTGAACACATTGGCAGTAAACAGTGCGTGGTTTACGGTGCATGTCGGAGATCAGTGGTTTACCTGGCAGAAGACCTTGGCAATTCATGCACCAGGCACCTATACCGTTTGTAGGTGAGAAGGACGGACACTGGTGCGAGACTCACACCTGGCTGGTGTACGCCATTTTTGGGGCGGCGGAGGGACCGGGCACGACGAGTTTCGGCCGGCAGTACTGGGTTGGGGAGATGACAGCAGGGGCAGTCCAAGAGCTTTTTGGTAATTGAACACTGAGCACAATGGTGCTTTGATGTCTCTAGACTGAGTGGCTTTTCATAGATGTTGATGTTTCAAACGCTTTAAATCAATGTTGAATTAATGTTTGCGAGCTACAGTAGAGTTCGTCACGGCCCCCCAATCAGCAGAAGTGAAGTCACTGCAGCACGAAGCGGGAGGCACTGAGATTGCATGAAGGTTCCAACATGTAGAAGCACGGCTACGTGTAGCAAGGATCAAATCAGGAAAGAACATCCTTACAGCCTCTCCATGTTGGAGGCAATTCACGACTGGGTCGAGTATCACTTCTCTAGGGATAAGGCCGCACCAGGTTCGCTTTTGATTCGTCAGCGACCGCGGGTTCCCTCGCCACCCAAATTCTGCAAGCTGCATGGAACACCAATGCATCTCCTCGGCAGCTCTTAGAACCGCCATGGGAGACGAAGAAAAGTTCGGCCACGCAGGGTGTTGCTTCTTGTGAAACGTTGGTTGTTTTTAATCAAGTCAAGTCTATCTACTGTAATTGCCTTCCAACTGGTGGCTTCCTGGTGGCTTTCTGGCACGAAAGATGCGGTTTGACTCTGGCTGTTCGAACGGGTCGAAGCCGATTTCGACGATCAACCTGCTGCGATCGAATCCTTCTGAACGTGTTCGACCTGCGATCGGGCCGTGTTCAAAGCAGCCAAAAGGTAGGGTGACAACGATGGAGTCTTTTGGGTGACGAGGACTCCAAGCCACCCCTGCAGTTTTTGGTCAAAGTCACCCAAACACCGTGGTTGATGACCTTGCCTACCTGAAAAGCCATCTTCCATCCATGGAGTTCGTTGGGTCAAAGGCAAACCGGGTGTTTCCATCCCCGCTCCGGAGCCTTCGGCGCTCCTTTTCCGTTGGGATGTCGGGGGGGCAGAACGTGTTCGGCCGTGTTTGGCAGCGAGAGGAAGAGAACCTTCAGCCTGGCCCGGCAGGTCACTGAAATCCGATTGATGCCCTAATCAGCCGATTTGTTGGGATCAATGGTTGTATCCAAGACAGAAAGGGTTCGATTGAAAATCTGTTCAAGTCCAAAAGCACATCAAATGCCTGCATGTCACGTTGGACATTTTTGGACCACTCCTTCCAGTTTCCGCTTCTGTTCGGGTCATTCTCAGAAGATCGGCGCACGAGTCGGCGTCTAAACCTGGCAGTATAAGCCATGTATGGTCCACATAGAATGCCAGCAAAGGTATTGGCTTGTAGAGAAAGATCGCGAAATCCCTGGGGTCCATGTTCATGGAGTTTCAGGAGTGAAGTGTTTGAGTGACTGGATGCCTGAACACGGGTGTTCACAGGGAATCTGCTGCATAGATTTGGACACCTCCAAGATTTATACACCGACCCCGACCACATTATAACAAGTCCACAAGCAATCTTTATCAGATTTGTTGGTGGAACTCCACATTCCTCGCTTTCTCACCGGTGAGTTCCATCCCCAGAACTACCAAAGTCGCAACTATGCCACCTCCGCGCGGAGGGGCTCGCGGCTCGCGCGTGGGCTGAGACGCCCACGAAGCAGGTCGCTCTCGGGACCGAAGACGTAAGACGAGACGACAGCGAGCGCTCGCTATGTCCGTCCCCTCCAGAACTGCAGGACTGCGGTGTGCACGGAGCGGATGTCCTTGTTCCCTTGTTCCCTATTTGTTCTCCCGCAGCTTTGGCCCATGTCGGGGCTCAACCCACATGCAGACATAGGAATTGCACATAGATCTGGACAAATGAGCTGGCACCACAAGCAGGGTCCGCAACAACTTCAAGTCAAAAACAGTTTCACCCGCAGCCAGCAGTGTGTGAAATGTTCTGAATAGTTGAGCAATGCTTTTCCATGCTTTTCCAGCAAATCAAAGTAGCTCGCGGTTTGGTTGCTTCTCCGAGCCCCCCAGTTCTGAATGATGTCGACCCTCGAGAAACCGTTTTTGAATCGACATCCGATGATTCTTTTCATAGTGCTTCTCGACTATGCACATTATGCACCCACCTGCAAGTACTCGTAGGTAGTTGTTTCAATCTCAACCAGCCCGCAATACACTCAAAGGATCTCAAAGGTCACCCCAAAATCACTGTACTGAAACGTAAGTCGCATGTGAAATGGGATATGAAGTGTCACAGTTGTAGGAATGCTCTCCAACCACATCTCATGTCGACTTCGCCAGTTGTTCTCCAGGTCCACCACTGATCGATCGATCCTCAACCGCCATGCCGTCCTGCGGCGAGCGCGCCCGGAGCTGTATCGACAGGTGGAGCTGGATGCACCGGCGGAGCCAGCAGGGGGAGAAGCGTTTTCCAAGACTTGGCACCTCCTTGATCCTCCTTGTAGATCTATGGATCACCATGAACTTCTAACTATGCAGCTTGTTTCCCTTTAGGCTGGTTTGTCAGGAAATGTTGCATGTGGAGTTGAAAGGTCAGATTTGTTTGTTACCCTACATTTTCCATGGAGAATGGTTGAATTTTACACCCGTGTGGTACTTGTGGCTGTATGTACCTCTGGAAAGTACCGTTTTTTCAAACATTATATCTAATCCCGTTGCTACCGGCTTGCTAAAATGAGTGTGGTCGACCACGGAAAACCCATTTTATTTGACTCATTTTAGTTCAAGGGTTATCTAAAATAGGTCTTAAATAAAATGGTTGGCAGCGACAGATTTGCAAACGAGTCAAATTAGCCAGTCACAGCAGAACGTGGTCTTCTTTTTTTCCACTTTCTAGATTAAAGACCTTTGGTGTGTGAAACTCATTTTATATGACCAATTTCTGGATATATATAATGAGGGGGTGAACCTCAGTAGTCGGTAGCAACGGGGACTATAGCTATAACTAACTGGCAAGTGGTGCCCAGGCAAGACTAGATCCTTCTACTAGCACTTCTCTTTTCCACTTCTATCTTGAGTTCGATGTACACCCAGCTGGGCTTATACCTCCACGCAGCGCAGGGAGTTGCTGCGAGAGTTGCCCAACGCATGGCGTGTGGCATATTTCTTCTTTGGGATCGCCTACATGCTGATCCTGGGGACTAGTGACCTGTCGATAGTGGGCGAGTCGATGGCGTGGTCGGTCGTGATCCTTCGTGGTCATGCGGCCGTTGGTTCGGTGCTTCCGGCGATCCCCAGTTCGGAGCGAGGCGGGGCGAGGGCGACGAACTGGGAGGGGTGGTGAAAGTTCTTCCTTTTGGTGGCTGTGGGTGGCAGCCATGGCACCAGGAGACCGACTGGTTGACCTGGAAGGTCTTAAGCTAATGACTTACATGGTGGAGTCGGGCTCCAGGTTCAACGACCCATCCCCATGTAATCACTGGCAGAGTTTGCAGTGTCGTTCCTGCAGCGTCACGGTGTCGTTCCAGAGACCCCATCGGCCCGTTTGGTCCACGATGGACGACAGCGCCAGTGCAAGTCACATGTCCAAGGATTTCATGGCGACCATCAGAGGGACCTCCAACGGCGGACCCAAGAAGAAACCTCAAGCCATCTCGTGCGTCTTCCGTTTGGGGAGGAAACCGACCGAGGTTTGATGATCAATCCCGTGACCATCTCCACCTTCCTGGACTCGGCCGCTCCGCTTCCGTTTGGGGTTCGACCGGAAGGAGTCTTCGTCTTCTTCTTCTTCTTCTTCTTCTTCTTCTGTCATCGGTTTCACATGGTTTCACAACATTGTCATCGAACGAGAGTGTGATTAAAGTGGGGTGGGGTGGTGGGGAGTAATCATCGGTGTAACTGCAGCATCATCCTTTGCACATGTTTTCGAGTGGTTGAGCTCCATAAGAGCTTTTAGATTATTCGTTTTCGATGGCAGTGTTTCGGAATGCTTCGGAGCCTTTTCTCTTTCTTGCTGTCAGGAGGCTGCTTTCGTTGTCGATGTCAGTGACCTTCGTTTTCGCAAGTTTGGGTTGTGGTAGGACCCACCATGTCAAAGAAGACAAACATCATACATGGTACACAACCATGGCTGAACGGCTGAACAGGTTTAAGTTAGGGGCATGTGCCGCAGAGAGTGTTTCCAAGAACTGTGGTTCTTCTTCACTCGAGACTCCCTTCGCCAGTCTCCCTTTGCGACCCCTTTAGGGCCAATTACAGTATACGATAAGCGTGATCCATTTTCATCAATCGACCACATGCTGTATGCAACGTTGTTCTCGAAAGCGGCCAAGAATCTCAGTGGTTCTGCCTGTGGCGGGAACTTCCACAGGCCAAAACGCACAACGTTGGTCGACAAGTTGGCCATTCTGGTGCACGTGTTGCAACAGTGGCAGCCAGGCCGTGGGTAGGTGGCCGACTTTCGTGCAAGAGCAGGTGTCCAAAAAAAGGGCCAGCATTTCTCCCTGGCTGCGTCCACTACACCGCGTAGCGCCCGCACCCACAATGTACCTGAAGTGGTGGGCCATGGGCCATGGAGACGTGCACCAGCGTGGAAGACAGAGTCAAAGTGCTGCCACTTGCCAGCATTTGCATGTGCAGACCGGTGCCTACTTCTGCGCCATTACCTCCAAGCATGTGGCAGCCAAGGTGGCTCCATGGTGTCTTCAACCATGTTGCGGCGAATGTCATCTTCGTCCGCCGCTTCGAGGAAGCATGTCCTTGTGTACCAGCAACCTTGTGACATACATCGAATTTGTCTAGTCTCTTGATTGCGGAGGGCAGTCCACAGCATTCCCACCGTCATACAGCCATGTCTAGTGATGCTTGTACCCCTTCACTTTCAACTTCACAGCAGCAAATTCCTAAACAATCTTTGCAATCACAGCAGCAATACTTATTAGATTCGCCAGAAAATTCGGAAATGGCAAGCAGTTGGCTTGTCACTCCTGAGCGTGCTCAGAGATCTAGCGGAAATGCTTCCCGCGCTGACTCACTTCAAGCTGGCTGAATGCATTGCCCCTGCAAGTCCTTTGGCTGACAAATCTTGGAGGAAAACCCATGGTTTAAGAAAATAGACAAACATTATATCTTTTGCCGAATATCCTCTATAGAATCTGGGAGCTTGAGCTCAAAATGACCCTTAGATTTTATAGACAAGTTTCTTATAGAATCAAATATCAACCTATCTGAAAAAACACCGTATTTTAAACATGGGGTCCAAAAAAGTCAGTTTGTTCTCTCAAAATGGGTGCCAACACTTGATTCTATAGAGAGGGCACGCCATGTCACCAGACTCCTTATTGAAATCATCCTGAGACTCAGACTGAAAGAGGGCGGGGATGCCAAAATGAGGATGCTTTCTGTCAGCTGAACTTGCACTGTTGAAGTCAACATGTCGCGAAATGAATGTGGGAAACGCACGCTGAAGGAACCCATCCCATCATCCCATGGGAAGGACTTCAGAAGTTCACGACTTCACCCAGCCCCCTATGATGGATGTGGGTGCCCGTTGTGTGCTGCCACAGCGTGCTTTCCGGATCAGGGAAAAAGCTCTTGGGGGGTGAATTTGGATGGTTTATATGATTTTATATGCATGTTGATGTGGATCTTAAGTTTTGTCAAGTCCGATCTGATCCCAGGTGGGTGTAGACCAGCAACCCTTGGCACAGACCTATTTGCCGCCACGCGGCTGAAGTTTCAGAAGGGTTTGGGAGGTGGCCTCGACCTGGTTGCAAGCATTGTTACTTGTTGTATTTTAGTGTCTTGTTAAATGGAAGAACTTTTAAGTCAAAGTACATTTTGCCTATATCAGTGGTAGATGGAATGTAGATGGATTGTTGGGATATTTAAGTGCATCAACCACCTGCTTAAACACCACAACAAATGGAGAGAACTTGGCCACTTGGCCATTGCTTGTTGCAGTTATCATTGGAACCTCCACCACTTACACGCTGCCACAGAAACTGACAGCTGTTTGATGCTGTTTGTATGTTGGTGACCTCCAAAAAGTGATTTTCTCAGGGAAACTGAGGAAATCGGTAGGGACAGGTTTCTTTGGAGGTTCTTGTCAAAGATATAAGACAGATCTGGAATCCATATGAAGAAGGGCCTACTGCCCGCGACAGTTGGGTCCCAGCTTCCTGAGAGTTCAAGTAGTTTTGCCACAATACCTTGGCCTGTCATGGACATATGGTCAAACCCTATACAAGTTCTGCAGGGATCCAATTGCTTCAACGCTTCTGTAATGCTTTGCATCGGCGACTATACAAAACCTATTCAATTACCGGAGTCAGAAAAACAGATCCTCCAATCAATCCCATCTCCAACGATCATTTGAGAGGTCAAACCTGGTGTTTAAAAAACAAAACACGGCCTCTTCATCGACCGGGCGCAGCCCAAACTTGAGCGAGAAGACCTGAGGCTGGTGCTGTTGCCGGTGCTCTTCATCTACAACTTTCTTTGGGCCGCCCTACAGAGTCCCCAAGGATTGGTCTTGGTGGCCACTCGGAGCTTCCGTCGACCGGTCTGACGGAAAGCAGACGGCCGGTCGAAAAGGCCGGTCTGTTGGAGTTTCTCCAAGCTCAGAGCTTTGGTCAACTTGGATCAGTTCATTTGAGTCTCCAAAGACTCCAAAGCCTGGTGATTTGTGCCTGTCGGTCCTTTTGTGTGTTCATAGGCTCCACACCCAAGCCCTTTTTGGCTGTGAGACGATGTCGGCTGTGGGTCAGACCCAAGCCCTCAAAAGAATGGTACTGGTTAAGACTGGTTCGATGTTGGATGTTGTTATGCTTCTGTGTCCAATGTAACTGTGCGTTTTCAGACAAAGATCATTGTGGATACATGGCTGAAAAAGAAACTCTGAACGATACTGGTACATGTTTTGACAGAAGCAACTACACTCAAGGATGCCAAGAAGAAGGGTAGTTCAACAACTCTGAAAATCAGTCGTTTCAGTTAGATGTTGTTTACTTGCAAAAGATGACATTGAAACACCACCAAAAGCTCGGAGCCAGTTTGGTCATGACTGATGTATGTTTCGCAAGCATGCCATGGTAGTTCCAATTGAAAGAAGCAGATACACCTCGATGATCTTGCCGGTACGAAGCCTCAAATGAGGGGACGGAGCCAGGAGCTCAGAGCCAGGACCAGGTGTGGTAACACATGGAAAGCTCTGCTTTTATCTGTTGTTTATTGATTTCCTGGTGAATCCAGATTGATTTGTGGTTCCAGGCAAGAGTAGTTGTGGGAAATTGTGGGAACATTGGTTTTGATGTTGGTTTTGGATTAAGCATGATGGATTGCGGATCGATCTGTGCTTGTCTCATGCCACACATGCAGAAAAGCCGGTGGTAAGCTGTGGATGTCGCCAGATGATACTCACAGTATATAAATCTTCCCCCAAAGTGGGAAATCCAACGCTCACAACAGGCCTTTCCATTGAGGGAAGTTGAGGTGTCAAGCATGCCGCCCAATTTGCCACGAGCTGGGAATCGCACCAACCTCTGGACACGTCCCCCCAAACACATCCCACATCCATGATGACCCTCTTCAGTCGGTCTGGTCCTCTTCTTTACTTTTGCGCCCGAAGCGTTCCTTCTTCGTCACCGTTCCGTTCAGCGTCGCGTGCCGCGTCGACCGTCCACCAGTCGACCCCTCAGTCCGAGGTCTGCGGCGTCTATACGGTGCTCTACGTGCTGATCGCCGTTCAGTCCTGGGAGCACGAGCATTTGCCGAATCGGCCCGGAAGACCGACCGGGGAGACCGGGCGGTGGAGGTTCACAAACACGCGGACAAGAGACTGAAGAGTGATGGGAAAGGTTGGTGTATGCGATTTCTCAAGGATTTTGTTGGTGTATGATTTTGAGTTGGCATTTCTTCATTGGTGATCTCCCAGATATCATTCAGTTTCTCATAGTTTGGGCTTGAAGATGTTCTGTGTTCCTGTTTTTTGAGGTTTGCAGCAAAGTCTCCTCAAGCGTGGCTGTCCATTTTCCCTTGTGAACTGTCATTGAACTCTAGGATACGGCTTCTATGTGTTGATTGATACCTGGGTATATGGTGTAGTTGGTTCATCTCAGCGGTATGTTGAGAAGTGGTTCCTGAAAGTACTTTCACTGAAGCCGACGCCTCCACCACAAGGTGGCGAGTGCAGGTTTTGCCTTTTTTGGCATGTGCGGATGTAATCAAGACAGTGGTTTCGGAGGTTCGATGGCACGGGGCTCCTAAGGTGTCTTAGACAGATGGGGCTCCATGTAAACCACCGAGCTTGGACATGCGTGCCATCTACATGGACCCAGGTCGAATCGGACCCGGGTCGTCTGACTGTTTTCCTCTACCCGTGGTGCAGGTGGCTTTCAGGAGTCCATGGGATCGTTTTACTAGTAGCTTTTTGTTATTAGTAGTAATGCACCTTGTTACTAGTAGCTTCTTGCTACTAGTAGCGATGCACCTTGTTACTATAGTAGTAATACCCTTATTACTAGTAGTAATGCCCTTGTTACTAGTAGTAATGCCCCTGTTACTAGTAGTAATGCCCTCTCAATGTGAAGTTAAGTCGCATGACTCCTGTCGTGCACGCTCGTGCGACGACTGAATTCACTCAGCCGAACAGTAGAAAACTCCGTAGATAGAATTATGTGTTTCTTCCAGGATTTGGATGCCTGCTGCGGTTGTGTGATGAGGAAAACACTTATCCTCAAATCTCCTTGATACCGACAACGAAACCAGTGCACTCTACTCTGTTCACCTTTCTTGCTTCTCCGTGAAGCATTTCGAACAGAGCCTTGATGATCTAACCCGCCTTCAAATCTACCAACAATCGGTTTGATATGTTTGATGTATGCTAGAACTCACTGTTCTTCTTTTAACCATGCCCGGGTCCTCCAATGTTGCGGCTGGTGCTTGCCACAAGACCATTTGCGCTTGACCGATGGGTGGACACCGGGTCCGTCACGCTGGCAGATGGGCTTGGACACTCTTCTACGCCACCAACACGAAGTCGGTCTTATTCCCCGTGATGCTGTGGAGCGCAACTGGTCAAACCAATGGAACGCTTGGTAGTTGCATTTGTGCAGTGAAAAAGACGCCACCCCGTTTACCCAAACCCATCAATGGTGTGGGTAAGAGTTGCTTGGTCCGTGCTTGTTTTTCGGCGCGCGGGGCTGTTGTATGGCATGGGATTGAATCTGTTGGATGTTCTTGTTGCTCAAGTGCCCTTTGGCTGCTGTAGATTGTGTACTGAAAGCAGCAGTTGGAGAAGTCGCGGTTTCAAAGCCCCGTGATTGCATGAACATTTCACTTGCAGGATGTGGAAGGCGACAAGTGTTTGCTGTTTGCAGGAAAGCAACAGTTGTGATTCAACAGGCAGAAAACAATTGCGATTATGAAAATACCTGAGAAGACCCCGGTACTTGTTGATTCAGCAAGCAAGGAATGTGTATTATTAGGAGCTGGTTGTCGTGCTTTTCGGAAGTATGGACACAAAAGATGTTTGAGACATGTGACAATGTGTATCTTTGGTCACTGCCACCTTCAAACGATGATATATTTCTCCATTTCAGGTCCAGGTCCAGTCAGAACAACTTCAAGCCACTTGGAGGCGACGTATAAAGATAAATGATGATAGTAATAATCATAGTAATTAGTAATGAGTGCTAAACTTGTATGCTCCTTCCTTCTTCCACTACAAGACTGACTCTGGGGGAGGAGTTCTTCTGCTCCTTCCAACTTCGGATGGATCTCGCCATGCCCATTTGGCCAGATCATCCTCCCATTGGGCCCAGGTGATGAATGACCTTTCTTCCACGAAGTATTCGACCCTTGGCTTCAAAGAGGGGCAGGGGTAGGGCAGATGGGGAGTTGGGTGCATCGAACATATAAAACATTAAAAAACTGAGCCTGCATGAGTAACGGGACGACCTACAACAGGGGCAGACTAGTGACTACTGGGAGCTGGTGAAATGCACAAAACCATGGGACCGTTTCATCCTGAATCCAGCGCCACAGCAATTTGCAGATTGCGAAGTGGGCACGGCTGCCCATGCCCTGCGCTCATAGATGTCTTCCGGGGTTTCGTAAGATGGCCGTCCTTGGTTCTGGTCTCGGGGCCCAAGTCGGATGCGGATGTCTTTGTCCAAGTGGGTTGAACGGCAAGAACAAAAGCAGGAACCAAAGCAACAGGATGCAACAGGAACAAAAGCAGGTACACACTGAAGAAGGATGATCTTACCGTTTGTGGATGCCTGGGGTCCGGTTGACCAGCCGACCGGCCTTGTGATGGTCGGGTCCCATTGCCACATGTTCATAAGACTCGGAAGAAGACACAGAGCCCTTTCAGTGAACTCTTGTGGCAAAGGGGTTGGCCCATGGCAGTTCGCTCCTGGAAGGCGGTCCAGCGGATACACATGGATACACCGTTGGCATCCATCAGGTTCCAGGAAGAGGATCCTCCATTTTGATCGCCTGCAGGACCTGGTGTGGCACAGAGGAGGTGACTATGATGATGGAGAGCCAGGAAGGTTCAAGGGGATGGTGAAGCAGGAGCTATCTCACAGCACGGTGGACAGGATAGAATTCCTGAAGCTGAGTGACCGCTATTTTGGACCACCAACCACCCAAAATAGTCTTTTCCTGCCAACTTGCGATCATCTACGTGCCCCGCTTGGAATCAGAGAGTCGGGTACTGTACGGGCCGGCGACCAAACGACCACACGACCTGTGCCAGCCGCTTCTTGTCTACGCTTTCGTCCCTGCCTTTTGTGCCGCACGCGAGGTTGAAATCCTAAAATGTGATCTTCAGCATGACATATTTTCTTGCCAAATGAAAACCATTTGGCAACTTTAAGGATGAATCAAGGTATATCGCAATGCTTTAGCTCCTGTCTCCACTTGGTGTTGTCGATCAACAGCCGCACAAGGCAGGGATCAATGTTCTTAATTACAGAATCATCCTGCAGGAGACCCTTGTCACAGCAGTCGTTTAACATAGAAACGGTTGTGTGACCCACCCGAGCCTCACCCAAAAAGACCCGGAGGGAATTCCGCAAGCGTCCAAGACTGTAAAAGAAACCATGTCCATGGCGCTCAATCCAAGTGCTTAATCGTTTGTTGATAACCTTGCCCGCCTCTCTTCCCTGTATTCGGCAAAAAGATGTTTGCTTCAGGTGTCCTAGAACGACCCACTTGATCGAAGCCTTTGAACTCTGCATCAAACCAAAATCGAAAAAGATTGCTTGTCCTCAGCAGTCTTTCGGACAATTTTCCCTCGGATTTGGCTTCTCCTTGCATCAAGTGTTCTCGTAAACACGATGTTGACACAGGTGACGTGCCACTTGGATATTAGCCACCTCGAACTGCATCTTGAGTTGCGCTACTCTGTCACTCAGTTCGCGGCCCAGGGATGCCGGCCCGTCGGGCGTACCGTGGGCTTTGTGGCCAAGGTCTGAGCCACAACGCCTAAGCTTTTGTCTTCTCAGGTCAACTGGTCTCTAGCTATACAAATGCATTACCATTGACGTCAGGAGGGGAGCCCCCTGAATGAGATGTTCCCAGGGTTGACCTACACCAATAGCAGACGCTGGTCGCCCTAAGCCCTCCCTTCCACTGTTGAAAACATCGTTTTCCAGGTCACCCGTCGCTACCCCTTGAGCGCTGCCCAGGAAAATTGCCTACCCTGCCTTGGTGACGGCCGGTCAAGTAGGAGGCCTTGCAGGCACCTGCTTTCAGCGGATAACAGGACGCGTGCGCACGCAGACCGGTGGGTATACAATTGGGGAGATGAAAGGGAGGCTATGGCTGACATAGATGTTCTTTTGGTACTCATGTCGTAGAGATAAAATGAGATAAATGAGCCTGCCATGTACTTGACTTATTTGACTTGTTGCTGTGCTCAGAACTCCGATCGCCATCGGTCGCACCGATCCGCCATGGGCTGTGGCCCCAGCCAACCTTCGGCCGAGCGGCAGCAGCTGCAGCAGTCGGCCCAGCTGCTGGCCACACAGTGCTCGGGCTCAGTGACCTACCAGAACTTCCGCTCACCCGGAAGAGACTTGACCGAGGCAAGCCCCTCAAAAAAGGCAAAAAGCCGAGCGACATCAACCACCGAGGTTTTCCGTATTGCTTGGTGTGTTTGGTGCTGTTGGTTGGGGGGGTGCATGTGGAGGCCAACCTTGGTTGTTGCGATTTCTTCACTGATTTGGAGGTCTTGGGAGGGTGTGCAAGGAAGATGAATTGAACTCATGAGGTTTCACAGGACCAAGGTTTGCTTGAAAAAGGGATGTGTGTGTGTGTGAAGAGAAAGGAAGCCTTCAGAGGGTTCAGTGCGAGTCTGTAAACGATCAGACCGTTTAACCGGGCTATACTCCCAACGGTTTCCCACATGGGCCATACTCCATGTCGGGTGCGTGTCTGCGTTTTGAGTACTCGTGGGTGTCACAGGGATCAACCATCCGCCGGGAATCCGCCGTTTTCCGCTTCAGCACTGGACCAGAGGTGGAGAGAGTGGCGGCCAGCGCTCTTTTTATGCCTTTGTTCTCGTTTCAGAAAATGTTTAGACAAGATTGCAGGTTGAGAAGATGATGTTAAGCATCTGGCAGGTGTGCCACAAGGATGTGCAGCAATACATGGTACGTTAGGCATGCCGGATGTTGTTTTGCTGAATGCTGGCCCCATCAGAACTGTCTTTGCCACCCTAAAGAGGGCCTTGCGCAATGCGCAATGCGCTATCAAGGCAACCTTGGACCGCACCGTCGAACGGTCCGAGGTGCAGCGATCCGACGGTCACCGTTTGCTCCGGGATACCCCCAAAAAAGGGGGATGATCCTGATCCGGGATGGGGATTAGATGAACTTGGAAATTGGGAGATTGGCAAGAGATCCAGGACGGTCCTATGGTATATTATGGTATTCTGAATGGAGCGATTCATGTGTTCGTTTTGGATAGGCGTTGTCTACCATTGGGAGTCTTGAATCGAGTGGGGAGAGGCTTCAGGGTTATTTGGTTTGATGAGATCAAAGAAGATTACACAAACTGAAACCCCTTTTGGCGGGTGAAGGTGAAGACGTCCTCACATCGTTCAACTTGGGATTACAGCAGGATTGCAGCACGCAACCAAGCACCAAGGATACTACGGTTGGAAGAAGACTTGGCTTCAAGATGCATCAATCTATGTGCTGAAAGACAAGCTTGCATACTTCAATCGAAATAGTCGGCTGGGCAACGTGGACTTCACTGATGAGAAGTTTTTGCACCTGGAGTTCAAGCTTGAGGAGGGGACCTTGGTGATTGCCAACCCAGACTGCAGCAAGTTCAATTCAGCGACTGATTTGCAACAAATACTCTTCCAAAACGACCCATTGAATCTGACAGACCCTGATTGTTTTATAGCGGCAGTTTCCTAACCACATGTATAGTAGTGTCCATGTTGTTTTTACCACCAGGCAATGGAGGCGTTTGTCCCTTTAAGGGAAGGCAGAAATCATACTGTACATCTTTGATGTGAATTGGTCGCACATACAAGTCACATGATAGAAGATGTATTTTGTACCCAGGAAATTCTGGGGAGTGGTCCACCTGGAATGACTGCAAAAACGTAAAGAAAACTCTTTGCAAGAATGGTCAACCCTCTCCTAACCCCTCCTTTTCTGCTCGACTGACTTCAGCGCCCCCCTTAGGCCATGTCGGGATCTGTGGATGTGCGTATCACCGCAGACAATGCCATGGAGATTCATGCCACTCAGATTTCAACAGGACATGTTTACTGTTCTCAGCTTTCTGGTTTTGATTGACCATTCATCAGCATGCTAGCAGTTCTCAGATGTGGCTCAGTCAAAGGCAACACTTAAGAATAGTTCCATTTCCATTTGCTGTTGTCGAAAGCGTGTCGCTAGTGGCCGCGCATGCAACTCATTTCGGTCTGTCATCGGATGGTAATCCCGTCCCATCGGAGCTTCATGGTCAAACTCAACAACCAAGTCGTTGAAGAACTCCCATAGCTCCGATGGGAGGTCATACTCACCCTGATTGGAACCACTCTCGGCTGCAACCGCCGCCAATGCTTTGCATAGGTCGGGCGGATAATCCTTGAGCTTCAAGGTAGCCCATTTCCCATCAGCATCACACCCTATTGAAACAGTTGCAGGCAAGGGTGTTGTTCGACCCTTTTTAAAAATGCTCTTCAACCTGAACACTACTGTTCGCAAACAGGAAGTTGGTGGGTTTGGCCGACCACCCTCCGTAGTGTCCTTGAAGAACTCTCACACGTCGACTATTGCTGCACCTCATCAACAGGCGTACAACATTAAGCCACCATATAGATGCTACATGGCTCATCTCCTGTCTCTCAGCTGGATGCTCCAGTCCCATGAATTCTCCGCATACGAGGCATTGAGCCAACAATATGAGCGAGACACCTAGCAGGCCATTACCAAGTCTGATCTGGTCAGCCTCTCTCTTGGTCAGGGCAGGAAGCCCCTGTGGCATTTGCCTAGTGCGCAGCACCCGTGGTGTCTGTGTTGTGAGCGATTTTACATATCTAGCAAGCGACCAAGTCTCACATGGAGGTCCTGCAAAAATGACTTGGACCCACCCAGCCTTCAAAGCCTTCAGTAGAAAGTCCAGCGTTTGCCTTCTAAGCAGGTCTCCCTTCTTCTCATGATATATGATATCAATGGAGATGGTGACAAATGCTTCCTTCTCTAAATAGTGTTGTAGGTCATATTGCCTCCTCTGTCCGGAGAACAGATGTGCCGCCACTCGGACTTTGTAGGCAATCATCCGTGGTACCTGAACGTTTAACTTAGACATCATGTAGCTTCCTTCTGAAGTATCTGATGTACTTTTTCAAGAGGATGCTGCGCTGGTACTCCTTTTAGCAGCCAAAACAGTCGTAGAATCTCTTCGGGATAGAGGAAGGTATCCAGCGTTGCCATACGAAGGGCTTCAATCCTGCCCTCAATGTCAACCTCTGTAGACTATGCTGCATTCCATCTTCGAATCAGGTCCTGTTCTTCCTGGTCATGTAATCCTCCAACCCAGATAGCATCTGGCTCACGTGCTAGAGGTCCTTCAGCCTGAAAGTAAACAGGGTGCCATTCCCCGGTATTGGGTTTGGCTGCTTTACTGTTGACTCCCGGATGCACTTGTCCCTTAGGACCTGCATATAGTACTGCTTACATCGCCTACTCCGCTTGACATGGTTGAACAGCTCCACATATCCTGCATAGTGGCGTAAACAACATTCACATTGAGACCCTTCTACGTAGTATCTCATATCAGCACATCTTTCATGTTTCTTGAAAGCGTGCACCGTCAGGGCCGCCGGCCCCTGAAACTGCTTCCGACATTTAAGGCAAAAGTACTGCGTCTGAACCCTCTCAGCTGTGATATTACCAAAGTCGGACTTAAGAATAGGATAAAATAAACAACCTTGGCGCATTGATTCGCTGGTTTGTCCTTTTTGCGGGTCTTGGAGCCCGTGAGGCCATGCTCTTAAACAAGCAGCGGGAGCTTCAAAGCTGAAGCTGGTTGAAAAGTCGACCACGGATGCTGGCGCGTGTCACTCACCTGGGAGAGTTGATGGGAGGATTCAAGCCATGTTGACAAGTGTTGACAGGAAGAAGTTTCATACGTTCACACTTGTTTGCAGTGAGTTTGCTCTAGTAGATGGTTCACGACAGACAATGTGGGAACCCGCAGAAATGCCTCCGGAATTCCAGCCCATCGCGAAGACCTGAGAAGGCTCCCGCAAGCGGACCTTTGAAAAGCCCGCTTCGGACACCTTTGACTGACCATCGAAGCAGTAAAAAGGCTTGAAAAGGTGATGCCAAGCTTCATGCACTATGCTGGCTTGTTGGACCAAAGAAAGGTTGCTATTTCACCGGTGCAGTACCAGTATGGGTGTATTCCTAAATCAACAAAAGGAGCCAGGACCAAATGAATGTTCGACACAGTGTTCTTGTGGATGTTATTTAAATCGTTTTGTGACGTCATATTGACATAGATGGAAGAAATTTTCTGTTCAGTATTTTGAGGAGACCCTCAGTGTGCTACTTGTTTTCTTCCCATCAGTCAGGCTGGGGCGTCCGTCGTTCAATACACACCCATTTTGCTGCAAGTAGAATAGGGAACCTCCAAAGGCACCCCTTGTAATCCTGACATCCGAAGAAGGAAAAACAAAACAACATATAAATACATATATACACATATAATATATATATATATTATTGTATGTATAATCTACACATCTTAGAAAATCATTCCAAAACCAAATCCCTTTCTAGCTTCCCAACCCTTCCTTCTTGCAACTTCTTGCTCCGCCACCTACGAACCGTTTGGAAGCCGCCAGGCTCCCTACTGGCCACAGAGGTCTGCAAGGTGGGCGGTACCTCCGGTTTGCTCGTCATGCAGGCGCAGTCGCCACGCAGTCGGCGGATTCCGGAAAAACATCCGCGCGAGCCCCGTGATTCCGGCGCAGTCGGGTGCCACCGCGGTCTTTCTCGAAGCTGGATGCCGGATGGGTCTTCGGGGAGCGGCTCTTTTGGGGGTTCAGATGCTGCAGTTTTATCATTTGTGTGTGTGTCCCATGGCCAGAACAGATGCTGCAGTTTTGTGGGAAAGGGTAACCCAACCTAACCATCGGAACCAAAGCTGCCGAAAAGAAAAAAAAAAAAAGAAGATCGACTGGTTGCTGGTGAATGGGTGCTTTGATCCTCTTGATTCGGGCCCGTTTGGACCAAGTCAAGATGGACTCAAGCTCGAGGACGACCGGGGACGAATCCTCCAAGCCACAGGACATTTGTGAGGAACAGATGTTGACCAGGTTTCCATGCCACCAGGCCCATCAAGACCGCTCCCGCACACACGGGGTAGGCAGGTGCCTTTGAGGCCGATCAACCTGGGTAGGTTGACCATGTCTGGTAAGTCTTTTCCGTTCATGTTGGGCGGTCAACTAGGGTCCTCCGGTTTGGACTCACAGCCCCACTCAGACTCCGAGGCTTTGACTGTGGGGTGTGTTTCTTTCTCACCTGATTTCTGAAGTTCTTGCATCAGGCATAAGCTTAGATGCGATAGATAATTTCTTTATAGACTAGTATCAATAATTATTATCCAGAAATATCTCATGGGCTGATGAGGTTCTGAGGTACTGAAAAGAAAAAAAAGGCTGCTCAAATCGTCAGACTTCCTTTGGCACATCCATGTTGCTCAAAAGAGGATAGGTATGGATAGGTCAAAATCCCTGGTAGGTTGACCAGGTCAACCAAGGTATCCTGGTGCCATGACCCACAGCCAAATCACTGGTGTTTTTCTTCGCCCATGCCGTTTTTGTGGGGCTCGGATTACTGCCGTGACCGGCGTGCACGATCGGTCGGAAACAGGCGGTGGCTTTGGTGGTGATTGGAGGATTGGCTGCTTGTTCGCCTACAAAAGCTGCGTGATGTATATCTTATATATATAGAGATATAGATCTACAGGCCATGCACATCATGCACCAAGCAATCGTTTGTTCCGGGGAAAAATCCTTTGACATCTAAGAACTTGAGTTTGTCGAAGTGAAAGATCATTCCAGGTTCGTTGAGTTTGGTATATCCCCACGTCACCTTCATTTTGCACCTTCGCTGCCTTCCCTTCACTGCCGTCCCTTGAAAACCTCACAGAGGGGAGAACTCTTAGGTCCAAGCACCGAATGTGTGGGCGGTCAATTCGAAAGTAACAGCACAAAACGCATGTGACATAGGTCCTGAACTTTGAGGCGCACGTGACATGGCTCTCTAAATGATGCCGAGATTGATACCCGTTTTTTGTGTTCTTCTCGATAGATTGAAAACCATTCTGCTGTTTGGCTGGTTGCATGCACGAGAAGGCAGAAATATCAGAAGTCTTGCGCCCTGATACTGTACTTTTTTGATGCTGTGGTGTATCCCCATACATTGGCAGCATACATACAGTACAGTGAATACCTTCTTATGAGAAAAAGAACTGAGTCTCTCGTTTCTCCCAACCTCTTCGTACCAGGAACTTGGCCCAGCTCCACCGGTCCACCGTTCCGGGGCTCCGAGCATCGAACCTCCAGAGGCTCGAACACCCGCGTGGCGTTGGGGCACCCGAGGTCTGGATCGCCTGTGTCCTGGCCAGCCGCGCGCCGGCCACGGAAGATGCTCCGGCAGAGGGCTCGGCACGGGAGGCGTTGACCTCGATGCAGCCAGTGGCTCGGCGCATCGGGTTGATGTGTTGAAAGGCAGTGGCTCGGCGCATAGGTTCTGACCATGAAAGAGGAAGGCAGGGTGGGTTGAAAGTTTCAAGTTTTTAGAGTTCAAACTCCTTTTTGCTCAAACAGATGAACAGATGTGGCTTTCTTCGTGTTTCCGCCCCAGGTCAGGAGTCCACCCGTCTCTCTCTTGGGTTTTGGGCGATGTTCGGATGATTTTGTGTTCCCGAACTGGGTAAATCCAGGTGATGTACCCCTAGAATAGGGCATATGTGGTGAGTTCTTGTTTCGGCTTCCGAAACAAGCCAATGCAAGCATACAAGTTGAAGACGTTGCCTCCCTTCATCTTCTTTCCGTTTGGTTCTTTTTGGGCCCTCTTAAAGCCTGGCTGGGGTCAACATGCATGTCAGCCGGACTAGCGAAGGATCTGACCCTGCAAGGGTTGAGACGGAGACCAATCTCAGTTGAGACAACCAGGCTTTGCATGAACTTCAACTGGGATTGGACTTCAGCTGGGTTCCACCCAAATTTCCCCATGCGTAGGACCCCCAATGTGTAGGCAATCATCTATTTCAGCATTTGGCCTTTTCGCGCGCCCTCACTGTCCCCGTTTCTGGCCCATCGTGCGGCTGGCCTCTTCTGTCTTATCTCGTCCGCACCGATGCCCCACGAGGTTGCAGAGCAAGCCTTGCGACTTGAAGGTCGGGTCCCTTTTTTACACCGAGGACAGTTCTTCTGACCGAGGACAAGCTCCGAGAAAGCTAAGGATGCATGGTATGTCAAGGCAACGACTTGGTATGTCAAGGATCTCAACATATCTCAACAGTCTCAACATGTCTCAACTGCAATAAAGTCTCGTTCATTTGACAACGTTGCCTCTGGTCACATGTTCGTTGCTTTTGGGTCCGGGTTCTGAAGTATGTCATGGACCCCCCTTCCGACATTTGTCGGACATGTAGGTAGCGAGCAGTTCTTTCGGGAGGCCAGAGACAGAAGAAGAATCGAGTGTTCACCTGAGACCGCTCTCCATGGACCTTCAAAACATGGCTAAAAAGAGGTCAATGTTTTTATGACTTGTTGGTGGGAGTCCTTTTGCAGACTTTGTTTCGTCCCACTACTTGCAAGGTAATGTTGATCATTGTGTTGAAATGATTGGGAAGATGAAGCCTTTTCATCCCTCTTCTTCTCCTGGCAACGGGCAAAGAGCCAAGATTGAAGCAAAGTCAACTTCGATGCGGCCAAACTCTTGTTCCCCAAGCTGTACCGGTGCTTTTGTTGGAGGTCCTTGTGCCATCAACACCTGGTGTTTGTGCTGTAAAAGCTCATGCAACAAGTCCACCAAGTCTTGGTCGATGAACCGCCTGTATATGATTCCCAGACACTCCATGTATGCCATATATGCCACCCCAATGACCCCCTGTCAACCACCCCTGGCCTGACTGGCAGTCCAGACTGGCAGTACACGTCGTGTCTGGGAGTTGTTCCTGGGGACTTCCGGTTGAAACATCTACTCCACCAGCGTCCCGTTGTGTCGCAGGCGCAGGCGAGGCCAGCGTTGTGCCGGCACGGCCCAACGGCTGTGTGCGGGGCATGCGCGCGGTGGTGCAGAAGCTCTGGGAAGCCGTGGAAGGAATTGCCGCTGGGCGGAAAGCAGGTGTTTTATGGAGAGAATGTGGAAGGAAAAACCACGGACCTTTTGAAGTTGGATGAGTCTAATTCAGATGTTTTACATGCAACTTGGCTAAGAGCTTTGGGTCCAACAAAGTCTTGAGTGATCTCAAAGTCCACCGGTGCAGGGACAAAACCGTGCGGAGCTTTGCATAAGAATGGTTTATCCACTCTGAGTGAATGGGCTACCTCGTAATTGGCAGAGTTTTCATGTTTGAGTCCACTCGGAAACATGTCATTTCAATGATGTTCCTTGTTAGAGTCAAGGATCCTTGACGTACCCATGACAGAAGAAAAGAACGAGAAAGAAAGAAAGAAAGAAAGGACGAAAGAAAGAAAGAAAGAACGAAAGAAAGAAAGAAAGAGAGAAGCAGTGGTGTTCTGTTGTGTGTGTGCATGTGTGTGTACACATGTATGTGTGTGTGCATGTGCTGTTCTAGTCCAGATGTGACTTGTACCCTGGACTAGTGTCCTCCTCAAACAGCATGGAAAGCGCGCCATTTGTGCGGGAAGTGATCAGTTTTCAGGGTTCCATCTTCGACTGCCACGCTTTTGGGGGAGAGTAGTGCTTGTGCTTAGGAAGTATTTGATGTTCACCTGTTCCTGGTGTGATTGGGGTAGTGACTGTGTGTGTCTCCGGTTCAGAGCCCCATTTGTTCAGTGACATTTCTGCAGGTTCCGGTGGAGAATGAAGCAGGTGCATCCTCTTGGTTTGGTGCAAGTTATATTGACATCAGAACTCTGCTCCCTTGACCATGCCCCATGTAGTTTCCCGCAAACCAATCTTCTCGCGTGTCACTCATTGGGGTGCAGTCCAAAGTGAAGTCCGAGTTGGACAGAATTCTTGGCAATGGACCCCAGCAGCGAAAAGAGCCGGGCAAAGGTCAACAGCTGAGCAACTGAAGGTCCATCACCCCACCGATACGACCGAGTTGACAGAGAAGACGGTCCAACCTTTGAGACCAGGTGCAACGACCATCCAGAAGTATCCAAAAGCAGGCACTTGTTTCTAATAGCTTTTTGTTACTACCAGTAAGGCACCTGTTACTACTAGCGTGGCACTTGTTGCTAGCAGCTGGTGCCCTGCTTTTTTTCGGGTGCCCTGCTCCGGTGCCTGAATTTGGTTCACGGACCACCACAGAAAGCACCCACGCACCGTGTGTCGCGGTGTTTCGTCCTGCGCAGATCTTGATCCTCACGAAGCCCTACGTGGCGGGGATCTTCTGGGTGGCTTGCGCTCATCTGGTGCCTCGAGTGCTGCTGGACTATCAAGGCACGTCGCTCACGAACGAGACCTGGCAGAGAGACTTGTTCGGGGAGTTGCTGCGCGTTGAGCTGTAAGGTAGCTCTCCTGCACAGGTAGCGAGATCGTAAGCAGACCGCCAGTGGTGTGCAACATCCATTTTTGGAGGATGAATCAGCACCTGATCTTCTACCAGCCATTATTTGGGAGTATTTTAGGGTGTCGTTGGCAGGATCCAAACCCTAGCAAAGGCTGTGTTTCTTGGCCCCTTCTGCTTGAATGCGGTCTCCCTTTCCACTTGAGATTGATCTTCTGTATGGCCCAATCTCCGCAAACGAACTTTTTACAGTGGCGCTCAACCACTCCGACGTTCGGTTGAGGGCGGACTTAGTCATTTTCGAGTCCTCTGCAGTACCTGACCACCAACCCTATATATAGATATTTGAACCCTCCAGAGGCCCAGAGGAAACTTGCCAAGGATATTGTGCGGTTGTATCCATTTGTAACCCTTCAAACCTTGCTTTTCTTTATGCATGCATGAACTTTTGAATGCATAAATTGAAAGCACTTTTCGTTCGTTCATTCGCGTGATAGCATACCAACTTCAATTGACTTTTCACATGGTATTGCTGTAGCGGTTTCGTGCATGTTTCATTGTTTACCGTGTTGTTGTACATTCTACCCATGTTCGAGCAGAAGTGTTCTCTTGCTGGAATGCCTTGGGTTGCAAAACGCATAAATGCGTACCTGGAGACGCTCCCCTTGTCCGTGCACAAATTCAAGTTGGACGCCAGCAACTGTGATGCCAACCTTGTTCCAGAACTGATCAGTGCCAGCAACTATTTGGTGTCTGAAGATTTGGAGGGAGCAACAGAGGAGGAGCGACGCAACTATTTCAATGCACTGGAAAGAAGTTCAGCTGATCAACGTGTTGCAGTCATCAAGGGAACACACACCGGCGTGCTGCATCCCAAGCTGAAAGGTGGGGGAACAGGTATCATTGGGACTTTCAATCAGACTAACAATGCTGTTCAGGTCGCCTACACTGATGCACTTGCCATCTCAGAGAATGTCACACTCGAAGAGGCGGCTCGACTTCTGCAAGGTGGATGGGGCGGAGATGACACATTCCATGGTGCAGACAGATACATCAATCTGTATCGCTTTGTTGAAACTGTGCGACAGCGCTGGAACCTGCCCGTCAAGGTTGAATGGCGATCTCCTCGACATGGTTGGACCCAAACTAGGTCGGGGTCAAGATGTTGGGCTACGAGTGTCTTCCGACAGAAGCCATTAGACCTGGAGCGGGCTGGAATTGCGGACGGGCCCACTGCCCCAAAACACGGATGGCGGCGCATCACTGACAAGGCCCTCATGCGATTCGCACCGTATCAACCTCGCGGAGCTGGCGGGGATACCATGAAGCAAAGAGATCAGAGCTGGAGGCTTTTATGCATCAGCCCACCTACAATCTGGTCCGAGATCAGCTGGTGGAATTGCGCAGAAGTTGGAGCAGATTAGGTCCGGCGGCCAGAGAGTTCATGAAAAGGCGGCCCATACAGAGCGACACCCATCTCGACACGAACACAGTGCGCCAAACCTTGTTTTGGACCATCCAACCGACCGCAGGGTCCCGTAAGTATAACTTGGCCGGCCAACCAGTGCTCGACATTTTCCCATGGCAATTGACCAGGTTTGGATTGCAAGACCAAAGCCTCAGAACGTGGGCCGATACACGGGGATCGTAGCTACGCGATCCATTGCCGAAGCTGTCTTTACTTCTCAACTCTTGACCGACATTAGAACACACAATCTTGACATCGACTCCATCGCTGAGTACTTGCATCAACAGTCGGGACAACCCGTCGCAAATAAAACAACAGAAGCTAAGACGTTCATGACTCCATTGATAGCAAAACTAACGGAGTTTCTCCAAACACTCACCCCTCCTGCAGGCGAGGGCACAGCATTGCGCCGACTTCAACAGCAAACCGACAAACTCCATCAGCAAGAGAGCGAATTACAGAGAGCCAGAGACAAACTCCGCACTCACGGCATTGGCCTCACACCCACCAAGCCCTCCAGTACCACACCTCCACCTGCTGCCACAACACTACCACTCACAGCACCCACTTCCTACCCACCCACTTCGCTGGCCATTCTCAACCTCACATCCCAAACCCTTCAAAACAACTACCCAGCCAAATTTGCTCAGGCATCCAGAAGTGGTTCAAAACATTGCCACCTGCAACACAAACCCAAGCCAACGACATCCTCCAGATCCTTTGTGACGAACGCATCACAAAAGAACAGCTCCAAGAAGCGGCAACAAGATACGGACTGCCACAAACTCCCTCCCAAAGCTCTTTAGCATTTGGTCGCCGCCGGCTCAGCCCTCGCGGCCTGACTCTGTCTCCAAGCCCAGCAACAACCATCTCACAAACTCCTACAACTCCTTTCCACCCTCCTCACTACACTTTCTCATTTTGTACACTTCAGACCTCATATCGACAAAGCACAGACCATTTTTGCCATTTGCCTAATTACCATTACAACAACTTTTCCCAACCCAATGCAGCTACGTAAAACTCCTTTACAACCAACATGTCTCCACCCATCAATACCACCAACACGGACACACTTACATTGGCTCTTCAGGCATCGGCATAGCTAAAAGAGAATACAACCGTCACGCCAAACTCAAGCAACTTCAACACAATCACCCCATTTCTGCTGAACTGTCACTACGATACTGGCACTCCCAGAAAACACTACACCACTACAGCACTCTCTACCTCTTTCACCACGACACCTTCCAGGATTGGCAACCAACACTTAATTGGCCTTACATCCAACGACATTTACATTTGAAGGCTTCTAAATGCCAGTTTACAAAACATCGCACTCAATTCACACGCATGGCTACCCACAAACGACTTGTCCAACGACTGCGCCGCAGACACCACACCACCTTACAACCCAACCTACACACATCCCAACGTCTCCATGCCCTCACTGTTCTACGAGAACTCAGCAAACACACCCGTTCCTCCTTCGCCATCCGCAGCGGTCGCTACACACATCTTGAAATCGATGCTTTCCGCCAAATGGCCGCCAGCCTCGAAGAACCTGATCGTTCTCGAGTTCTCCGCCTGATCAAATCAGCTCTCACTTTTCGCAACCCTACCATCCCCAAGTCCAACAAGCCGTTTACCATTCCATTCCTTGCCCACACAACATTCCAACGAGACACTGAGCAATGGCTACGCTCCCTGGTCAAGCACCACTTTCACCATGTTATTCCGTTTCACCCACCCACCAGCCGCATCCGCCAAGCAGCACACAAGACACTCCGATCCAAACCATACAATCACAAACAGTGGGAAGATCACTTCTCATCCCAACCCACCGCACAAGACATGCCTTGCAGCTGCCAACACATGAATTCTTTCCTTCATGACCCTGACAACAGTCCACTTCACGATGGCCACTACGTGCTCACTCTCGGCGACTTATCCCTACCGTCCCATTTGCTGCTTTTTCTACAAGCCAACATGAACAGCGCCTACTTTCCCACAAAAAAACAATACTTTCAACGCTTCACCTCCACAAACACACAATGGCTACGACATCATGGACTTCCAACAGCACTACACCAACACAGCAAAACCTTCCTACAACACCAATGGCGCCACCACATCAGCAGTATCCGTCACTCTCCACGCTTCACCTCCCGTAACATCACTCAGCTGCGAGAGTTTCTCACCGACAAACTACTGCTGCATCACGCTGACCACGAATTACAAAACCTGCGCATCTTCTGCCCACAACATTACTTCCATGGGTGCCTTCCCACATGGAACACACCACAACTTTTCAACCCACTCCCACACCTGACAGACGACCAACTGCAACCCCTGCTTACCAAATCCTTTTCCGCACACTTACGACGACCCTATCCATAGGGATTTCGCAAACAATTTTATACACCACACGGAGTTGTCTTCCTTAAGCAGAAGAAGTCATGGAGAAAGGGTCGTACAGTGATCAGCTATTTTCGGTCCATTGCAGGCACTCTGCTGCGAGCCACATCCAAAGCTCTGGACATTATGCTTTTGCAGCTACTCCCTCAGCACCCTGGACAACTATCCATCCCCAAACTTTGGAAGCACCTCCACACTCATTTCCGTCACACCCCACACGACATCCACCTCACAGCCATCAATGACAACCTTGTCGGCTTTTTCAACAGTGTACCACAACAACGCTTAGTTGACGCAGTCATCAGCCTCTGCAACCGCCGGCACCTTCACCATGCAACTACCACCCTCACCATTGATATGCACTCCACCGGCAACCCCATACAACACTCTCACATTGGCAGACATTACATCCACCACCCACAAGAACGCACCCTCGACACAGCTCACATTCCCCTGATCTTTCAACAAGCACTCCACTCATGCATCTTTCAAGCATGTTACACTTACTTTCAACAGATACAAGGAGCAGGCATGGGCAGCCAACTTTCCCCTGCCCTATGCAACGTAGCCATCACTCTCATCGAACATGCCTGGCGTGACACATACCACACTTTCCTCCAACAGCCCAGCCTCCACCTCTTCAACACACGATACGTCGACAACAGATACATTTTGCTCAACCACAACTTCATTCATTCATTGCCCATCGCAACACTCGCCCATCCAGAGTTTTACGGACACCCAGTTGAGATCGAAGCAGTAGAGGATGACCATCTCCTTGGTTTCCTCATCAATCCACAAGCACGAACAATCACCTTTCAACTTCCCACTCATCCTTGGCAGATACGTGACAATCACTCAGCAGGAAGCCACAGATTGAGACTTTCCGGTCTCCAATCACGACATCACGCATTGTTTGCGATTTACCATAGAGTGCGGTAGAACGTTGCAGACGCCAATGTTTGACCTTGGTTCGCTGTGTTTTCGTTGGCCACGCGGGCATCATCTCGAGCAAGAGCACTTCGAGCGCCATCCCCCCAGTTGGCTGCAGACGGGTTTCAAGGTTTTGGGTCAGGTTTAACTTCTGCTTGCTGTAGAAATTCTGAGAGTCAGCGCCTGACTTTAGCATCAATTTTCCCATCCTGTTGGAGCACTTTCGCCTCAAAGAAAAATCTAAAAGTTTGAGCAAACATATTTGCATCCAGAGACCACTTGCTCTACCGGTATCTAAACCAATTCTAGGAGTCAACGTCCTGTTCGTTCTTTCTGCGGCGTCGAAACTTTCAAAAAATGGTGCTCAGGAGCGATGGCCAAAGTCGGTTCCTGGAAACAAGGACAAGTGTCCTGGCTGAATCAAGTTGACCATGGCTATCGTAATCCCCGGGTCTCGGCTGCGCATGACGACCAGGGCCTGCCCGTGGAGACCCTCGACTCGAAATCTCCAAGATTGGCTTTTGTTTTTCCCAGCAGGGCCTCATACAGAGCTGAAACGGGGGTCTTGCCGATTTGAGACTTTTTGAGGGAGTACACAAGCGATACAAGCGGAGGGACTTACGGGACCAAAAACGGCCAGAAAACTTCACAGAGGTAAACAAAGCTTTGTAGAGACTCAAAGAAGCACGAGCCCGGTACAGTTTAACATAAAACAGCGCTCACTTGACTCAAGTACAATTAAAACTTAAAACCATACACCGATTCCAAAAGCTGAGTTGGCATCTTCCAACATCAATTCGGTGGCCATGTGGCACGGTCGATATCCCTGTATTTGGATGTTGCCTCAATGTGTATTGACTCTTGTCCATACACTATGACTTGGAATGGAGCGTGACATATACACTGAAGACCCGTAAAGAATTGGACGATAGTGACGATACTTGTTTGGCTGATGTCATTTATCCAGACATTGTCCCCCCTATGTCCCCTTCTCGATTTCTGGTCTTTCCAGTTGCCGCTTTTCTGTCTCGCGCAGGCATTTCGTCGGGTGTGCAGGTCCAAAAAGATGGTTTTCCTCTCGGATCGGCTTTGGATCCGGGTGACGCGGGTGACGCGGGTGGATCCAGGCAGACCTCCTTCTTTGCCTGGTGCAATGTGGCGAACACCGTCGGCACCGGCCTGTGCCACGGCGGAAAACACGACGAACACCGATCTCCGATCCGGAGAAAAGGACGAAGATGAGAACGAAGAAGGGTACCCCAGAGTTGTTATTACCTCTTGCTTGATACCTCTTGTTTGAGAAGTTGCTTAGGGTTTGGGGAGGTAAAACCACCTCTCAAGATGTAGTTAGATCCCTAGAGTTTTGAGTGAAATCGCACAAGCTGCTCGTTTGGAGCTGGTGCAATTTCTGGATCCACTCTGGAGTGCACGGCCACCGAGGCTTTCACTGTGTGGCTTGCGTAGCTTGGTGGAGCGTGGCTTGGCGAGTCTGGCTGGTCAGTTTTGGGAATGAGACAGAAGGACTGAAAAGCCAAACGATGTGGGGGTACTGATTTACTATATAAGATTATACTGTATATATATAAGTCTATATTATATAAGCCAAAACTGTTAACCGAAAACTGTTAACCGAAATACAACCGGCTCCAAATCAGATGGATATTTAGTGTTGGTTTTGTGGTTTGGTGATTTCGGCACCCGCAGCCAAAGGACTTTGGTGAACATCTATATCCCGAATCTGAAGACTGAGAGTTGTAAGTTGGGTCGTCTACCTTAAGTTTCTATGTTGAGAGCTCCGGGAATGTAAACAATATAGCAGCATAGCAATGATAGGGGAAATGTCAGACAGCTGTTCCGGGAACCCACCTCTTCAAAGGGTTCTTGAAGTCAAGGAACGAGAGCTTTTCTAGACAAGACCGGGAGGCCTTAACAAGGGTGTTGAGAGGGGAGGAGACTTCCTCAAAAAACCCACCAGTGCCCTGACTGTGGTCGAGTCGTGGCTTGGAAGCCGGGCTTGACGTGAAAATGGAAGAAGGCACATTCACATGAACGAGTCCATTTGACTATGACAGCTCATAGGGTGCTACATGAGTAAATAGATTCTTTGTGGGGCAGCTGGATTGGATTCTCAGATGAGGTCCCACCAAGCCTCGACTCCATCTACAAGCATCATATTCTCGCCACCCTAGAGACGGCACGGCCAGAAAGTGTAAAGAATCAAAACTGATGAACTGATGAACCGTTTTTCGCCCCTCCCATCAGTTGTCCGCTCATGACCACCGTATTCCGAACAAGGTTTTCTTGCTTCCCCAGGCCCCAGGAACCCAACTGTTTATGTTGCACAACTGTGTTTTGGGAACTTGTGACAACTTTCATTCAAGCACAACCCAGGACCTTCAAAGTGCCTTTTTGAGATCCCAGATGAAGTCAGTCCCTGAACAGGTCACTTAGAGACTAAAAAGAGGTCACTTTGAAGATCCTGGTCCTGGATCACCCCTTTACTTGTATCAGCCTGTAGATAGCATATGTTAAACTCCGACCGCTCGAAAAAGCAGCAGGATACTTGACTTGGAAAACTGCACTGATACTTTAGAATCTTCCACGTCTTGGCATCTTCCATAATACTTTGTCAATTTCTCCAGGATGATTCTATTTACATATATCCTCCCACCCAATAGTCCAAGGGCCCAACCATAGGTGTGATCCCTGTTCACCGTTGTGATCTGAAAACCTCTTGACAGGGGGAGGTTCCTACCTTTGGGGAGTCAGCTTCAGGCGGCGGCCTTTCATTGACCTTGGTGATTTTGCCCTTCGCCATGGCGCGGTTCTCGGCCGCCGAACCACCGATGGTTGGAGGGTGACGTGTGTTTCACCGGGTGAGTGCACTGGGTATGCATACACCTGTCATCAGATTGGGCAATCCTAGCAACTATACACAAGTAGCATCGTAACACCAAAATGCATCGAAATGCTCAAGTATTTGCCGTTGTCTGAATGTACGTTACATCTTGCAGCAGAAAGGAATCTGTTCTTTCTAGGGTTTGTGACAGCCCCAGATGACCTGCATCCGATCCTCTACCTCAATCCAACTCCTATATGGGTCAAGGCTGCTGGATGGATGAATCGCTCGACTTACTTTAAGAACTTCTGACCAACACTTGCCTAGAAGCCATTTGCCCAAAGAATTCAGAAATCCTAGGAGTTTCAAGCACAACACCTTTGGGAACTGGAGGGTGTGAACCCTATGAACCAGGGGCTCCAAGGTTTCTGTATGCTGCAAAAAGACCTAATAAGGGTGTGGTTAAATGGGGGACCCATGCCTCCTGACCCATGCCTTCCCAACCACGCCTTCCACGCCTCAGTTGGGCTCGGTGCTACTGGTGTGCTTCCACCATGAGTTCTGGACGGTGCAAGCGGTCCTGGTGCTGGTGAACGTGGTGCAGTACGCGCTCAATGGACCCAGCCGATGCTCGGTTTGTTCCTCTTTGGAAAACTACCCTTCACTGAGTCGCCTGAGTGGACTCTGGCCGTTCAAGCGCTGCCAAAACCAGTCCGGAAACCAAGGATTGGTAGGATGGGCATCCTCTCCATTGCTGCAAGAGGGGTCACTGAAAAACCACCAAAAGACCTGGTTTCCTCGTCCAAGAGCCGAGTTTGGTTGGAGGAAAGTCATCGATATCATGTGTCATGGTTTGTGAGTTTCCTAGCAGTGAGTGAGTTTTAACTTGAAACCCCTGCATTCACAGTTGGTCAGTTGGCTTCCAATCACTGTGCAGAGAGGTTTGCCAGTACATGGACACTAAAAAGGCATTAAATAACAAAGTTCCTTTTCACCCAAAATGGAGTCCCTTTTCGACATACACCCGTGACGATGCTCTTGGGATCGAGCCAGGAGAGATGCTCTACGTTCGAACCTCCAAAGACATCAAGTACAAGGCCAAGAGTTGGTCCGACATGCTTCTCGGCTGGGAGGGACGGTCGGTGTGGCATCAGTTGGTGCGTGGTTTGTCATGTTTGTCTACAGCCAGTACTGTGAAGAGAACGTTCAGTTGTAGAACAGCAGCAGTGTACAACTGAACGTTCAGTTGTAGATGCTACGAGAAGAATGCCATGTGTTTGCGAATGTGGTTCTATGATGACACCCACTTGTAGGGTATGTCATTGTGCCAGGTGTGCCACGTTCCATTGATTGTCTAGGATTTCTTTTATACCTGTCCAGCCGACTTATTTCTTTGGCTTCGGAGCAAAATGGAACAAGTGCCCTGGGTCGGTTGTGTTGGGTGTCTTTGGCTTCGGTGGGCCGATCAATTTCGCTTTCGCAAGGTATGGTAATTTCCTGCAGAAGTTCATCGCTGCGCAGATCAATCTTCACATCAATCGCGAGCAGGATGCCATGTTTACATCATAGATTTGCCCTTAAATTGATGTTTGATCCCAGACGTATGTGTTGGGAGGTATGTGTTGGGAGGCTCCAACCCCTGTTGGTTGCTGTTTTTTCCACAATGGAAGAGGGGTGGCACTTGAAGACGTTCAATAACGTGACCGATGGGGAACATGTCTGCTACTCCGAAAAGTCACTCCAAGCAGAAAAGACCACTAAAACCACCAAAACATGCGGAAGTTTGATGTCGGGCTTTTCGACCCCAGACGGATGGTACCCCCACCCTCCAAGCATCTGGGCCGAAGAACTGCTGAAGAGCCCGCAGGATGCTTGCCAACCTCATTGCTTTAACGGCCTCTTCACCGGTGTCTTCACCACTGTTTGGGTGGCTGTTTGGGCCGTGATCGCAGGCGGAGCTGGGATCGGAAGGTGGATCGCAGAAGTCGGCGCATGCACTCTGACTATCTCTGACTCGGGTGTGCGTTGAAATAGGGAACCCCCCGAATTGGCTCCAGGGGTTTTCCTATTCCAATGCACACATCCATGGAAGTGGACCATCGGCTTGGATTAGCCCTGTCAACTGCTTGCCTATGTACAACTGCTTGCCTCATGGTTTCGTGGTGTACCTTCGACACCATGGGGCCAGTGGTGTGATCAGATATCAGTACTGTCAAGTTATCTCCTGCCTGTGGCAGATGAGTATATAATGAACATCAATCTATGCTTATAGGAACCTATTGGGCATGATCGTGGTCGCGCGGGCCCCCGCATACCCTTTACAGGCTTGCCAGGAACCCGCGGCTTCGCCGACCCACACAATAGATCTGGTCAAGTCCGAAATTCCAATTGGCGATTGACCTTCTGGGCTGGATGGTTGTGGTAAGGCATCATTCTTTGGGGCATGTAAGGAAAAGCCTCCCAGGCACAGGCAGAATTTGGGATAGTACATGATAGTACTAGCCCACACTAACAGTCAAAAAGAACCCTAGCAGTGTTCCGTGCAACCCCTAATGAATCTTCGACCTCAAAATGGCCCGAGGCTGGCCAGCTCACAGAGCTTCCACCTCGCTGTCCGCATCGCCTGTTCCACGTCGCGAGCGAGCGGCCGAACCGAGACATGCGGCGCGAGGCTGTTTGGGACGAAGACATGCGCAGCTTGTGGAGAAGAACGAGTTCATCCAATGAGGCGCCCCGGCTTTTCGTACCGGGTGCAGCTCTTCTGTCGATGTGAGCTGTGCGCAAGAAATGAAATCGGTTCATGCATGTGAGTTGGGATTAGGGGATTAAGCAGCGTACGATATATTTTGGAATGTGTTGTTTTTTTTTGTGGATCAAGAAACAGGCCCCGGGAATCGTGCTCGCTCTCTCTCTCTCTCTCTTTCTTTGTCTAGATTATCTAGGCCCTAGGCCTTGACCCCTTTTTGGGGCCCCGAGGATAGCGGCAGTGCCATCGGCTTCACAGGGCCCCACAAGTGTGTTCAGATGGACATCAGGGTCGACGGTCGAGGGCTCTATGGTCTTTCCATAGAAAGGTCTTCACCGCCAAATAGTACCAAGATACCATGGGATTGATCTACTTGTACTGAGAACCTCTGAGAACTGCTGTTCTTCATGCTTTTCATGGACATGTCATGCCAGTTGATGCTCCATGTTCGTCCAGATGCTTTCTTTTTTTAGGTTCGACTCCAGTGCTTTGCATGGGCTTCGCTCGCGAGGTAGCAACAAAACCTCTGAGATCTAGAGTAGTGAACGTGCTTGAGCAGTTGGCTCGCCAGAAGCAGTGCAATTGATTTGAACAGACATGAAGAACTTGACAACCCCTAGTTCACCACTCGATTGAAGACGATGGGGAAAGTGGAGACAAGCTTTGCCATAATTTGCCAAGCCTTAGAGACTGTGTCTCTTTGGTTTTTGGTGCACGAAACGCACCGGTTCAGCGAAGACTCGGAAAACATGGGCCTCCGCCAAGCTTGGAGGAACGAGACGAGACAAGTCTGGGTCCGACCCACATAGGCTGAAAACCCATGTGGAAAGCAAGGCGGTTTGAAAACCGAGGCATTGTCAAGACCCGTGAGGGAAATTGTATACTGAATACTGAGTAAGGAAACCGAACATATTTTACTGAGTATACTTATATACAGTAATACGTTTTTACTGAGTATCACATTCTTCAGTCAGGCCTTTGCTAACCATCATCATCTACTAGTACTGAACTGTTTGGTTCCGAAGTGTCCGACTGCTCTGGAATTGTGCAGATGAGGGTGGCAGCTGAATGTGTGTGTGCGGGCAGATTGAGGTTCTTAAAGTGGAGGCACGCACTTGACAAATGGATCTTCCGGCGGTTATCTACAGATACCCACCTTCAAAATGATCCAAAACGCCCCATGCTCAGTGGTATTTTGGACGATCATGTTTGTACACATTTGTACTCCAAGTAGGTGTCGCCATGCCTTGATATGCCTTGTGTTCTTTTTGTTCTCCACCCGTACTCAACTTCTTCACAGGCATCCGTTCCGTCACAGCCTTTTTTTTTGGCACCGCCGTGGAGATCACAGCCACTCCGTCGAACCGGTGGAGGTCTCCATTCCGTCGCACCGGTCGCACCGGTCGCTGGTCTTTTGGACACCCTTGTTACTCGTCCGGTCTGGGAAAAGGACGAGTAAGCTTCACGTGGGTTTCACGTGTGTTTCCGGATGATCTTCATCAAGAAACCATTGGTCTTCGTCAAGAAAGAGCGGTGCCCACGGGTTCCACCACTGCCTCTCGGTCCACGGGTGCACCACTCGTCTACTTGATCGTCTGACCTCTCTGTGGTTGATCAGGAAGGGCCCGCCATTTGGACACTTTACTTAGACGACGACGACAACCACCACCATATACAGCAGACCACAGCACATCCCTATGCGAGATCAGTGACGCCCATGTTTTCGCGTGTCTTTTTGCCTGACCCGCTGGCGAAGTCTGGCTTGCTGTATGATTTTCGCCACACTTGGTGTGCCCAAAAAGGGAGTGAGGTGTTGAATGAGTGCTGGCTTTGGGGACTGTCAGGTGGCTGTTCCCGTAGGAATCGATGGCATATGCATTGCATGTCTCTTCCAAGACTTGTTTAAACCAAGTGATTTTTTGAATGTATTTGGGGATAGTTTGTGTTGATCAATCATCCATTGGCCGCTGGACAGCAAGTTGGTCCAGAACTGCCGTTCAACCCGGGTATTTCTTTGGGGGAATCTCTGGGCACAGTCTTTGAGAGGTATTTCTAGTTGAAGACTTACTTCTTAGTACCACTCTCTTGAGGCGGCCGATCTGATTTGGTACAACAAGGGGCGGGAAAAGGGGTCAGATGTACATGTTGCCCCCCAGAGAAGATGGTCGTCATCAGGGCCTTTTGGTGAGGTGAACCGAACCGCGTCAGGCCCCGCAGCCGTTGGGCCCCAGCAGTCGAAGATGATGAGATGTTCGACACCAAAGTGTAGATGGGAAAGTCAAGAGGCTGACCGTTCAATCCATCATGAGAAAAGAACCACTGGAGCATTTGCTTTGATCTGGATCTCGAAGTCTCCATATTTAGGTCGGCTTTTTTCTCCAGATCGCCAAGGGGAGAACGAGATAATATTTTGCGATCAATCTGATGCCACAGGAAGAGGTAGAAATGCCCAAGGGAGAGAAGCCCACCGAGGAGGACTGGACGCAAGGTGTGCCACCAACTCTTCTGGGTGGTGGTGTCAGATATTTTACGATTGTTTAAAGTTTAACCTTCACTTGAAGAGTTCAGCCAGGAGAGCGCTCAAATATCATCCCATGTTCAGCTTGTGATATGTTTATGCTCAACCTTTACTGGGGATGATTCAACCCAGTTGACTCATACTTGTCAAGCGAGTTGAAAGCACCAACCCGTCTTCCACGAATCGACTTTCTTTCCCGATTAGCAGCGTTGGTTTTTCGAATGAAAGAGCCTCACAAGTCCAACATCAAAACACAAAGGAACCACCAACAAAATCCCAGGTGTTCTGTGAAGAAGAACAATCATAGGAAAGGACCCTGTGGTGTTAATGTGGCAGAGAACGCCTTGCGTTTCAGCCCACCCACGGTCACGTCCTGCAGGAAAGCCAGCTGAGAGCCGCCCTGCGCCGGGGACGCCCAGTCCATCACTGTCACGGCGCAAAGGGCCAACGCACCGGTGGCAGCAGCCAACGAGAACACCGTACTAGTGATTTGAACATCGGAGAGCTTTTCTGAAGTTACGCAGTGGAGTTCGGAGCAGCACGCACTGCGACTGTTACTGTACCCAGTCACTGCTTAAATGACCTCCTCACTCCCAGTACCTCAAGTAGTCAAGACCGTTGGAAAATCCATCCAAACACTTTAGTTGGACCAGTTTTTGGTTCAAAGCATTGCGACTCTTCGTCATCTCCGATGCTTTGTGTCCAAAGAATTCCTGTGGTAACCGCCTGTGGTACCCTGAGCCGATGAAGATCTCCATGGTCGGTTTTGGGTGGCACTGGCCAACAAGAGGATGAGCTTGAGGAGAGAGTATGCTGAAGCCTCACATTTCACCGTTGTGGCTGTTGTGGTGTGGTTCCAAGCCACCAAACTGCAAAGAAAGCTTTACTACTCACTCGAAGTAAGAATGCTGCAGTATTTCAGTAGGTATCTTTTCTTGCTGGTGCCAACATGTTAAGCAAATGCAATGACAAGAATGAGCAATCAGCCTAGTGTTTTCGTGTTTTCTTGGAATGCAAACTCCATGAGTTCCCTTTTGACGGTGCCCCGCCTGCGTCGCGCAGCGTTGGGAAAACGCAGGCTGCGTGGGCTTTGCCTCAGGGGTCATCATCGGGCTGATCGTGTATGGCGTATTGCAGGCTGGGTGGACTGAAAAACTAGCCTTTGTTCACAGCACACGATTAGCAGGGAAGAGGAAGTAGCAAGGGAAGAGGTGTTGTACGTCCACAATCAGTTGTGAGTTTCTCCAAGTTACTTCCGAATCACTATCGTAGGAGAGAGGATGGGGTTACTTGCAGCTGATACAGAGCGGATACTAAAGAACCAATGCAAAAGGATTCAAACATATAAGGTGGAACCCATATCCTGAAAATTATATATATATATATTATATATAGCTGAACGCCCAAACAATCCGCACATCAAATGGATGTCCAACAAAGCCAGCGTCCACATTATTGGGTGTACCCTGAACCAAAGGTGATGGTTTTGACTCGCCACCAACTGACCCAGCTTTGGAACGATCGAAAAAAGGAGTGCTTGGCACGCAGTCTCGAGATCCCAAGACCATCGTGTAGGGGCTGAAAGAGCCAGGTGACCCCGTAAGGAAGGTGTTGGCAGTTAGCATTTGAAAGTTCCAGAAACCTTCAGAAGTGGTCCAAGTCACCAGGTGTACCAAGTTCCAAAGCCGCCCACACTAGCGGTGCCACAGGTTTTCCCGTGCACGCGGACCACCAGAGCCGGTTGACCGGCCTTCATGATTTTGGGGACTTCAAGTTCAAACTCTGCAAGCTGGCTTTGTATAGGTCACTACCAAGAAAGAACTCTACAACCACCTGGTTCCTTGTGTTTTTGGGCTTTGCACAAATGGCTGGCTGCTAACTTTGTCTCTTCATTCTTTAGAGAGAAACTATTCCAAATCATAATCAGTATATATAAGTGGGTTGAACCCTGGCCTTCAGAAGGCTCCCAGTTAGCATTCAAAGGGATCGATCCAGAACCCTTCGGCCTCCTAGCTCTATCATCGTCCACCACGGTCGAGATCGTCTTCGCACTTCCTACGACCACGTGACCGGGACTGCACCACAGGAGCGCATCATGTCCGAACCCTACGACAACGTGCCTTGGCCGAGCCTTTGATAGCCCCAAAAGGGTTCCTCTATGTTCCTCTAAAGGCAGATCCAGCGGAAGAAAACCTGCCTTTGAACTCACCATGGGTGAACTGGATGTGGCTGTGGGTCAAAACCTGCAGCCCCTTTCACCAGGGTAGGTGGACCTCCTTAGCCTGTAGGTCGTCCATTCTGTTCATTTTCTCTGGTCAACCAATGCACCCCGGTGCCATGACCAGTTCTGCCCATGTTCCTCCGGGTACGACGCGTTCGCGCGAACGGCACGGCAAGGGATGCCACGAACGAAGGATGGGGGTTGCCCCTGTCACATCCACTCACTGACTTGGGGACTCAAAAACACCCCGAGCTCTGTGACTTCTGGTGTTTTGATAAGATTAGAAAAGGTCGAATTCGTCCAAAGGGTTTTGTTGCTCATTGAAAAGAGCTTTACGACCATTGCTCCCCAAGGCCCTCCCCCATACTCCCCTCCGACTCTGATCGTGATCACCAAACCTTCCTGGCAGAGGGCCATGGCGAACGAGGTTTCGCCTGCGCCAATGGAAGGGTGGCCTTCAGGATGAGCAAGCAGGAATGACAATATGTTTCACGTTTGGTGGTGGCTGAGCAAACACCAGTGGTTTGAGCACTGGTCAGACTATCAACACATCACACGGCACAAGAAGATAACCCCCATGTTCATTATCAAGCAATCGCCCCACCCGCATTGTACATATAAATATACCTGTAGTATCGAGACATAGGTAGATACAAGAGATACAAGCATATATATATATATATATGCACGTAGTCACGTAGCCCACTTTTACTTGCTCATCCACCTGGTGGTTGGATGGTGATTTACTAGTGTGCCAGTCCAATGTCGGACGAAGCTACATTCGATCCTGGCGGGCCACAGCCAGGGAAGCTTCCAATGTCAACCAACCACCAGAGTCGTTCAGTTTTTCCAACAGGAGTGGATCCAGGGTCACTGAAAATCTTGGGTATCAATGACTCAAGTACCTTTGCAAGATGCCATTTCCTAACACAGACTGTTTTTGTTATTGCGGGACTTGGGGAGCCGTACCACGCGACGTACCGCGACTCTTCGTCGACTCTCAGGAGATTTTCAGGACCTCCGTTTTCTTAGTCTTCATGAACCGCGTGGCCGCCATCTTGCCACTGGTTCTGAATGGTTTGGGCTTTGGGAAGTGGACGTGGGCTGATCCCAGTCCGAATGAAGTCCTGGCACACCGGATGCACCAAACCCTGTAAATGCCAGCTTTTTTGGACCAAACCCACTTCTAGAGAGGCAAATTTGTGCTGGGCCTGAGAAGGTGCGTGCGATTTATGGCGCTGCCAGCCCTTCTGTTTCTGATGGAAAGCAAATATGTTTCTGGTAACTTGAGCTGGAGTCATATGCCTTGAACAATCTAAGCTTGAGGGCCCGCTCTCCTTCGCGGTAGCGTTGGTGTTCTCCATGTGTTCTCGATGTACGAACGAGTCTTGCACCGTGTTTGGGAAAGGAAGTTCTGGGGATTGCATGCTGCAGTTGGGCGACCGAGAAGCCGGTACATGAAGCAATCAATTCGGACGGATGTGTCCCGTCTCTAACTGAAGACGTACTCGCTGGATTTCAACTGCCACCCTCTTCCAAAGTTGTGTGTTTGGATGTGTTTGGTGAAGCGTGGGTTCAGATTGTACTACTTGAGACATGCCCAGGCCCACATCTGTCCATGGTCTACTATAAATTGGATCATTTGGACGTCTCAGCAAAAGGGTAAGAGCTCCATCCTGATCTTGAACACCCCACACACACCCCGTCGACACATGCCAACCATATGTTCATCTTGTATAGAGAAAGATCCCATCAAGCTCTACCAAATCCCCCATTTTCATCGAAGGCACGGACGGCTTGAGCAGGGTGAGGGTGCAAAAGCACGGACGGCTTTGTATGTTGGTTATTTGGCTGGTTGGGCTGAGTGGGTTTTGGTATAACACGTAAAGTCAGCTAGACTGGTCGTTCAAAGGAATGATATGTGTTGAACAGTTGTGCCATCATCGACCTTCAAATGTCTTTCTTGTGGTGACCTTGTTTGTATACCTTAACTGATTGAATAGTACTTTCATTCAGTGGATCTCCGGACTTGAGCTTGCCAGTCAAAAAGTCCTCTCCGTTCGGAGCCACTCCACAGGGCAAACAGCCCCTACTTCGCAACAATCACTTGAGGTTTGCACTACTCATGGTGGCCATTCAGGGCGAAAGTTACAAAGCTTCTGTGAGGAGCTCAGCCAAACGTCCTCGCGCAATTCCCGCCTGAGACTGGCAGTCCAGGGCCCTTGGTTGGTCCAAAGTAGTTCAATCACTCTGAGGTGAGGGCCATGGATTTTGACCGAAACCCTACTGTGGGGGCCAAAGCCACTACCCCCAAAAGCACACGAGGTTGACATCTCAATGCACTCCTTCATTTTGGTGGGTGAAAGATCTCGACCCACTGCCATGCTTGCTTACTACTCTCAAAAGCAAGAAAAAAAACAGCAACACACCGAACTTCGGATGGTCAGCGACTCTCATACGTTTCGCCAACCCTTTCCCCAATGGAATTTGCGACACAAGTATGTACGTTGGCAAATTGTGTTTTTCACCAAGTGGATTAAAGTGGCACAGGTACATAGCTGAACATGGCGCAACCGTTGAGGGGGGCTTCTAATCGTATTTCCGATGGGGTAAAAACTTCTTATGCATGCTGCCGCCTTGTTTTTCAAGCACCACAAAATGACAATTCCCTCTGTTCAACGTAGTGTGGAAGAGGGAGGGCACGCCTGTTCAACGTAGTGGGGTCCTGACCGTCTGAGATGACGTTGAGGACCGTTGCAGCCGGAAGCCGTACCGGACCGGTGGGACCGTGGCCGAAGACCGGCCGCCCGGACCGACTGACGACTGAGGGGTGTTCATGAATGAAACCCCAAAGAAGATACGATACGAGCGGATCCATGATCCCTTTGAATCCCTTTTAGCGACTCGTGGATTGGATTGACTGGTCTTGAACCAATCAAGGCACTGGTTCGTTTACAAGTGAAGGACCCTGGCCCAAGCACAGTTGCAAAATAGCGGTCGGCACCTCGAATTCACCTGGGTTTGAAACCTGTGAATTGGCCCAGAATGCTCAATATTGAATATTTCTAACAAACCGACCTTCCTACGACCTGGCCTTCTGGTGTCCAAGATATCGCAGAATTTCATAGAATTCCAAATCAGAAAATCCAAATGTTTCTTTGGGTTGCTCGGAGTGGCCGAGAGGGACCGGGAATAAAAAGATCAAAAAAATGCTCCGAGCTCCCTGCAGGTGCCGCTTTGGAAATATTTGGCGGTCTCCCTGTCCAACGTGGCGGCCACGTGGTGCCAGTATGAGGCCCGCTTCTTCGAGGAGAGGAACCATGAGCTCTCGTTCGCCTGATATATCGGGTGGAAGCGGAGTGGTTGCGGGTGGCAACTCAGTTCAGCAATGACCATCATTGGACTCGGGGTGCGCAAGTTCTCGTAGCTCACGATGCACAAAGTGGACAGTCGAAATGACATCGCTGCTCAATTTGTGTGGAGCTTTTGCACACCACTTGCAAGTGCCGCTTGCTGCACATATTCTACAGTCTTCACTGCCACCTTTCTAAGACTTGTTCTTGCAGCAATGTTTCTTCAGGTTGGCCAAAGTGATAATACTTGGGCACCTGAGATTGGGAGCATGCCGTCGAGGGCTGTGGCTAGGTGGCTAGGGGGCTATGTACCACCTACTGGACTGTACCTATGGCACTAAGCACTGGAAATTGTTGCGCTGTGCCCAGAAATAGTAACACATGCCCAAAAAGCACCAACCACTCAACACCCAGCCAGCTGGTAGTATACTTGGATGGGCCAAGCAGTTGATGTTGTGTGTAATAGAAAGAGGGACCAAAAGCAGAAACCCGACATCTTAAGCCCGACATCTCAGATGTGAACCCCGAAATTTTGACGGATGCGAACCCTGTTTGGTTTATATAGACGGTTTAGACCCTTTTTTACACGAGGGGGGAGGTACCGAAAACGTCCCCCCGCCCGCCCTGACGTGGTTTTGAGCGAGCCCGAGCTCACACGAGCTCGCGAGACCGGGAGAGGCTTTGAAGTACGTGACCTTCCCCGTACAGATGTGCCTCGGTAGCTTCCGTTTAAAGATCACAGATCGCGGCGAGAAGACGATTCAGGTACGATTCAGCCTCCATCGAGCCCCAGCCCGTTCAAGTTTCTCACTAAATTCACGATGCTGCTTCACTGCCACAGCTGTTTCACCTTCATGATTGGTGTGATACTGATGGGAACCCCTGAGAAGCTTGCGAACCATCCACAGGTCGGCACGGGCCGGTCATCCACTAAAACGTCTATATATTTGGTTCGTGCCTGATGTGTTCACTATCATGATAACCTTGTGCCGGTGGAGTGAGCTATGAACCTGTCTACAAGGGGTAGAGTGCCGAGGAAGATCACAGCCGAGGGCTGCCAGGTTTGATCCCTCAAGAGCGGCTTCATGGCGTTCTCCCTCTTTGGCAAGAGCACGCTTGTAAACATCGCCTCAACCCGCCCTGGCCACAGGGCCAATTAAGGGATGAGGAATGCAAAATCCATGACAGTACCCGAAACCCCTTTGAATGCCAGGATCTCGTACATGTTTCCTCATGGTGTTGCTGCATTAGTGGACTTAAGTTGCTGCTTCTCCTGTGTGCGTGATGCACCTCACCCTTGAGCAACTGAAAAGGGTCAAGTTGGAAATCATTGTTTTCTGGCTACTCTAGTTGATGGACGCAGCACCCACAAAGGACCTTTGCCAGGCATTGTCTGATGGTCGTGATCTGCTAGTGGTGCTGAAAATTTAAGATGTTGTGCATCAAGCGGCTGTGGATCCTTATTAAACATCTTTGTGCAAGCACCTAAGATATGCTTGAGAAGGCCCCCTCTACTCAACCAATCCCATCTCCAAAGCTGACTCCCTCAGGCTGGGGAAGAGCTTCAAGATGATGCCTGTGATGTGAGGGCTCTCAATGCGAACGGCGGGTTGGATGGCAGCGAAGGGAAGCGCACGAGGTTTTGTTCGGAAGGGAAGCATGACCAGCCATAGCAGCACATGTTTCCCCTGCCCGTATTCCAAAAGTTTGGATTCCGCGAACTCATCCATCCTGGGTGGGTACCGCCTATGGGCACTATTCTGAGCATGGCATAGCCTATCATAGCCTTCAAATTCTCCAAGTTGTTGCATTCAGCAGTTGTTTGGCAAGTTGGAGGGGAGCGTGGTGCGTGCTCAGAAAGCTCACTGCGCTGAGAGGATGTTGAGTTGATTACCCTTGAAACTTGTGACGGCCGACGCCTCGTTTCGGAACCTGGATTCGTCTCGTTTCGGAACCTGGATTCGTCTCGTTTCGGACCCTGGATTCGCCTTGTTTCGGAACGCGGGTGAAATGGTCTCCCGAGGCTAGGAAGTGGTTTCTGGGAAGTGGTTTCTGGGAAGTGGTTTCTGGGAAGTGGTTTCTGGGAAGTGGTTTCTGGGCAGTGGTTTCTGGGAAGTGGTTTCTGGCAAGTGGTTTCTGGGAATTGGTTTCTGGGAAGTGGTTTCTGGGGAGTGGTTTCTGGGGGCTGGTTTCTGGGAAGTGGTTTCTGGGAAGTGGTGTGGTTTCTGGGAAGTGGTTTCTGGAAAGTGGTGTGGTTTCTGGGAAGTGGTTTCTGGGGGCTGGTTTCTGGGAAGTGGTTTCTGGGAAGTGGTTTTTGGGGGCTGGTTTCTGGGAAGTGGTTTCTGGGAAGTGGTTTCTGGGAAGTGGTTTCTGGGCAGTGGTTTTTGGGAAGTGGTTTGTGGGAAGTGGTTTCTGGGATGTGGTTTCTGGAGACTCGTTTCTGGTGACTGGTTTCTGGGAAGTGGTTTCTGGGGACTGGTTTCTGAGAAGCATTCTTTTTTTGAGGGGGTGGTGGTGAAGGCCTAAGTCTAACCCACAGACATCCTAAAGAAGCAAGTCCCTAAGCCAAGCCAAAAGAAACCGTGGCCCTACAGGAGCGAAACCCTAAGCAAAACTAAACCAAACCCTAAAGAAGTGAAGCCTTGAGTCAAACCCACAGACATCCTAAAGAACTGAAGCCCTCAGTGAAACCGAAAGACATCCTAAAGAGCAAAGCCCTAAGGCAAACCAACCCCCTGAAGAAGTGAAGCCCTAAGTGAAACCCAAGACATCCCAAAGGAGCCCTCACGTGAAGGCCTAAGTCCAACCCAAAGACATCCTAAAGAAGCAAAAGAAAACCTAAAGGATCGAAACCCTAAGCAAAAAAAAACAGATCCTGAAGAAGTGACGCCCTGAGTCAAATCCGAAGACATCCTCAAGAAGTGAAGCCCTAAGCTAAGACCAAAGAAACCCTAAAGGAGCGAGGCCCGAAGCAAAACCAAAAGAGACCCCAAAGAAGTAAAGGTTTATCCGACCCAAAGACATCCTAGAGACGCAAAGCAGGAAGCCCAACCACATGAAACCCTAAAGGAGTGAAGCCTGAAGCAAAAGAAAAAAGACTAAAGAAGTGAAGCCCTAAGCCCCGCTCCACTGAAGCCCTAATGCCAACCCAAAAACATCTTAAAGAAGCAAGCCCCTAAGGCAAACCAAACGAAAACCTAAAAGAGCAAAGCCCTGAGCAAAACCAAACCCAGCTTCGCCAAAGCACGTAATTACCACGACCATGTGCACACAACACAAAATGTTGAGCAAGAGATGCTGTTGAATTTGTGCAAAAGACATCCTAAAGAAGTGAAGCGATAAGGCAGGCCAAAAGAGACCCTCAAGAAGTAAAGCTCTAAGTCACAACGAAAGACATCCTAAAACAGCAAAGTCCTATGGCAAACCAGCCAGAAACCCTAAAGAAGCGAAGCCCTAAGTGAAACCCAAGACATCCTAATGGAGGGAAGCCCTAAGCAAAACCAAACCAGGCCCTAAAGAAGTGAATCCCTGAGTCAAACTCAAAGACATCCTAAAGCAGCAAAGCCCTAAGCCCAACCAACCAGAGACACTAAAGAAGTGAAGCCCTAAGTGAAACCCAAGACATCCTAAAGGAGCCCTCACGTGAAGGCCTAATTCCAGCACAAAAACATCCTAAAGAAGCAAAAGAAAACCTAAAGGAGCGAAACCCTAAGCAAAACAAAAACAGATCCTCGAGAAGTGAAGCCCTGAGTCAAACCCAAAGACATCCTGAAGAAGTGAAGACCGAAGCTAAGACCAAAGAAACCGTAAAGCCGAAGCCCGAAGCAAAACCAAAAGAGACCCTAAAGAAGTGCAGGCTTATCCGACCCTAAGACATCCTAAAGACGCAAAGTCCTAAGCCCAACCACATGAAACCCTAAAGGAGTGAAGCCTGAAGCAAAACCCTAAGTGAGACCCTCTACGAGGATCGCGCGTGCCAAGTGTTCAAACGTGTAGTGAAACGTCGATCGCGTTTGACGCGTTTGACCTGGAGCGACCCTCTGCGAGGATCGTGCGTGTCATATGATAATGTGTGGTACAAAACGCTCGTTCTGGAGACTTCCGCGGCTCACTTTTGAAGGAAGTCTCGCACAAAACGCTCGTTCTGGAGACTTCCGCGGCTCACTTTTGGAGGAAGTCTCTCGTTCTGGAGACTTCCGCGGCTCACTTTTAGAGGAAGTCTCGTACGAAACACTCATTTTCACTAGCAAATGCTACCTTCGAAGCACTACCGAATGATGCGTGTTCCAAAATGAGCCGCGAAATTGGTCTCACGCTGCAGTCCCGGAGAGTTTTCTTTTTGTCTGGGTTCCAAAATGAGCCGTTTCTAGGTTGCAAAATGAGCCGTGTACCTTGACTATAAGTGCAAGACCATGGAGCATTTCCCAAGTGTGTGTGTGTGTGTTTGTGGGTGTGTTCACTCTACTTCTACTTGGATGGTGAGTAAACACCCGTGAATTTATCCATCAGATGTGTGGAGCTTCCATTCCTCACATAGGTCGACCAGGTATTTGCTTCCTCCTGGGTGAGCAGGTGTTGGCTATCCTCAACTGTTCGAGCTCTCGAAGTCCGTGTTTTCTTGACCCAAAGACTGTAAGGAAGACCCAGGACCATGCTGGTGGCCCAAGTAAGCACATAGCTAAAAATCTGGTTTCAGGAGGCAGGGGTGTGTGGAAGTCATGTAGTTTTCAAGCGTTCCCAGCTAGCTGGTGGGAAAGACAGACATGTTTCTTGCGTCGAAGTGGGGAGCGAAGCCGGTCGCCCAAGCAACCGCAGACTTCGGCCACGCGCTCCCCACGCGCTCGCCATGCGTCTCTTGGCCGTCAGGGTGTGGGGCATCCTGATCTCGGGTCAGAAGTACAAAGCGACCGACTGGCTCATTGCTGCAGGACCCATCGACACCAAACCAAACGAAGAAGGACCAATTCGGCTGGTCGGCCCAATGTTTGGGAGTACACCATTGTGAAGAAGGACCAAGTTCGTTTTCATGGTCAAATACCAATAACATAAGATGACCTTCATCGTCCATATACCTTTGTTGTTCTCTGAGAATTACCGTCGAGTTCTCGACTGCCTCGTTGTCTTAAGCTCTCGCCCGGCCGAGACCACGAGCGCCCTCGGAGGCCGATGTATCCGATGTTCGAGACCACGTGTTGCAGTTGTATCTGGTGGAAGAATGTCCGAAACAGACTAAAACCAGGTGACGGGTGTTTGTTTTTGTTCGGTCACTTGTATAATCTCTCTTGGCATGCGTGCAATAGTTGTAGTTTGCCATATATACTGTAGTTGTAAACAACCTCTGCATAAGCTGCCGCTGTGGTGCGGTTGAAGTTCTTGTTCCATCCACGCAAGCCCACGGAAGCTCCAAGCAGGTCCTCTAATCTAAGTGCCCACATAAGCAACCCCTTGCGATATGGTCCAGATCTCATACCCTTTGACCGCCGCTCACTTGTTTTTTTGGGGGATTGTCAAGATGTTAATTCCAATGCTTTGGCCAGAGTGCATGCCTTTGGCCCCAAGTAGCCCTGACCAAAACAGGTGAATTCAGGAGGGAATCGTGCCTTCAGGAAGCTCGTGGCATTTGAATTGGTCGAAAGGGCGACTCATCCCACGTGCTCCAAAGGGTCGTTATATTGTTGATGCTGATTATATTGTTGATGCTGATTATGTAAGTTATACATATGTTTACTGGATCCAAAACCATTGCCAGCTTCTTCAGACCCCAAAAATCGACAATAATGGAGTCTTCAAGTGACGTGCAAAGGGAAAAGTGATTGCAGGGCAGCCAAGGTGTCAAAAAGTCACTTTAAACAAACACATGTTTGGGTGCTCAATATCAGCGTCTCCTTCCTTCGCCTGCAAACGGCTCTTGTGTCCAGGAGTCACTGGCGGAGTGACAGCCTTCCTCATGACAGGTGTGGAGTGTTTGACAGTGCTGTAGGACTTCTTGCGCCAACATTAGTGCACATAGGCTACACGAGACCTGCTTGAAAAGAGCCAGAATGACCACCGATTCTGGTTCGACACGAACCCCTGTTTGGAGTCTTTGGGTCTTTGACCCCTAGCTTCTAGGTCGCCGGTGAGTCCAAATGGTTGCAAAGACGTCCATTGGAGTCTAGACCCAGAAACCAGGGACACCTCACCAAGTTGGCACGGAAATCGGTCGCAGCAGAAGCTCCGGATTGGACTGCCCGATTTGTCTCCCATCGACGGTGAAGACCAGGCGACATCAAGTCGAAGCACTCGGAGGGCAGCCACTTGGTCGTGCGAACGGTGGGGGCGGAACCAACAAAAGCTGCAGCACGTTCGCCCACATTTGGGTTCGAAGAGGAGACGACTGGGCTGGGTGGCTCTAAAAACCCGATAGGAACTCAGGTTGGAGAAAATCAGGGTCATTGTGAGCGTTCTGGGCACCTTTGGGTTAGTGGTGGTTGCGCGGTTCAAAATTAAAAGCAGTTTGGCTCTATTGCATATGCAAAAGAAAAGCAGGCCAAAGGTCACCATTACTTCCCATCTAGCAACTTAATAGACGCCTGCAAACCTGGATACCGGCTACCAGAGATTCTTGAAGACGATCCAAAAGGGTTTCAAGTCGAAGGCACTAAAATCTCAAAGAGCAAGTTCCAGTTTGGTCGACACCAAATTTCCCAAGATGATTCGCCTCCTTGTAGTAGACTTGGCGTATCGTATGCCAGGTCATGGATTGTCGTGACGAGGATGTGCGAATTTCTACTCGCCCAAATTCCCTGAAGCTGGTCAACCTCCGGCTCAACCTCCTCGTTTGAAGAAAGATAGTGAGCTTTGACGCACGGTAAGACAAGTCTGGCCTCGTTTGTCTAGAGATCCGCGCCATGCTCCTGGTGACCGACCCATACTGTAGCAGCGTTGTGGGATGAAGCAAACCACAATGAAGAAGCTGGAGAGCGTCTGGCTGCGGCAATGCACAGTGTACCAAATACCCTTAGTGAAGCAGGGAAGGTTTGAGGCTAGCAGGACCATCAACGCCTTTTTCAGTTACGAGAGACAGGAGCAAGTTGCCGAGGTTGTGCCGCAGCTCAATGGCCAAATGTTGAATGGGCACGAGGATGACAGAACATCAAGCTGAAGCTCATCAACTCGCCAATCCAGGAGCGCCTCATGCACCACCTTCCGATCAAAAAGGACATGTGCTTCAACCACATCCAAGCGCAAAGCTCCGTCCATCTGAACCAAGTGGGCCACCACCTCATCGCCCACCACATCAACTGCAGCAACATGTGCTAAATGACATGTTTGTTTTTAATAACTGTTCTTTTTATGTTCCTCGGTTTTTTATCGCAGGGTATGTGTGTGGTATGTGCGTCCATGTGTTTTCTCTTATGTCTTTATTCTTTTCTCCCTACCTCTCCTTCTTTCGTTCAAGTAACCATCGTGAGAATCCAGCTTTCGTGCTGTGTCAACTTCATGGCCATGCCTCCCGTCATGGCCTCATCCATCGCAGGGATCGGCGCGGAACAGATAAAGCTCGTGGCCAAGCACGCCTCACATGATGGGCTGCAGGCTGATCCCAAGGCCAGAAACATGGCCACCAGTGGTGCTGCAAGGGCTGTGGTGCACGCTGATCAGGGTTCCAATATGGCCTACTTGTCTGGGCTTGCTGTGGCCGATGGCTTGATCCAACTCAGGGCCTCCTGCCCCATGAAGGTTCTGCCCGAGAACGGTCGCCACCTCGACAAGCAAGAAGCTTTGCTTGAGAGGTGGATCAAGCCAAAGAAGCTTTGCCTAGCAATGTCTAGTGGCCGTTCTGGTATAAACACCTTGATATTGGAGGTGGCCGTTCTGCCTAGTCACCAGATCCTGCCATGCTCATATCCTGCCCATGCTCGTGGGCTTCGACGGCGCACCACATCGATGCTCGTGTGGGTCTTTGGCATTCTCTGGCTCCCATCACACCAGGTGCTCTGAGCGTCTGTGCTCTGAGCGAGACAAGCACAGTGTAGAGAGGCTTGCGTGCTACACTGGACTCCCCTTCAGCTCTCGGGCCACCGGCTTAATGCTTGACAGGTGCCGAAGCGGCCAGCGCTATCCACGAGCGCAGACTTGTACATCAGCAAGCACAGCAAGCTTGCGCACCGCCAGGCGGATATAGAGTGAGCATGTGGACCACAGTACCTATGCAGATGATCCTTCTTTCCAAGGCCTCCCCCGAAGCCTTGCGCTTCTTTGGCAGCAATTTGCCTGGGATGTGAGCCTCCTTACAGCCTTGGGAGGCTTGGAGCCTGCCTGAGGCCGTGGAGTCAAGATGGAGAACTCACTGCGCCCTGGGGCCATGTCGTGCCTGATGCCCAAATGTAGGATCTTTCAACAAATGCGCGCTTTTGCAGTGAATGCCACAGGACCGGACCTAGAGCGAGAAAGGAAGAAGGAAAAGTGTCCTTGTGAGGACTCGAATTCATGCAATGACTGATTGTAAGATATTGTAAGTCATCCCAGTTTGCTCCTGATTGACCAATCACAAAGACCGTGGTTTCAGTGGGTGCGAAACATTTCGCACCTGGACAAAATGTTCGCGGGGATGAGGCAACACCATTCAAGCCCATCAGTAGGTGGCTTTTGGGGGGGTCTGTAACAGGTTTTTGTTGAAAGAACTTTCATTGCGGTACATTCCACAGGTCATGTGCTGGTTCTGTTCAGGTCATGTGCTGGTTCTGTTCATTGCCTTCGTTTGTTTGCGTGCCCAGACTTAGTAGGCATGTTTGAGTTGGAAATTTTGGAATTTCCAATGTGGCCTGAACCCAGTAGATCAACTTTTGAATTGTGAACCAACCTGGAGCAGTTGGAAAGACCTCGTGGAGCGAAACTGTATGTCCCGTAGACGGATCCATTTGTCAAGGCTGCGGGCGGATATCCGCTTGGCCGCTTGGGGTGTCCACGGTCGGCATCGTCAGATGTTCCAGCATTTTTTTTGCCCAGGCAGTGCTTATGGTTTGCTGCTGCTGTGTTGTTTTCTTGCATGTGCTCCTTGGTTTGGGACTGGAAACTGTGATTATTTGGCGCGGCGAATGGCGGCTTGGGAGTGTGTGGCATGAATTTCAACCTAAAAAACGTGGGGAACTCTGCCTCTCCAGCCACGAATCACAAGATATGGCAGGCACATTGTAGAAATGTTGAATTTATCCAGCACAGTATCACAGAGCGGGTAAGGGAAGGATGGGCGTTAAAATATATAGATGAAGTGTATTGAAGTGTTGTTTCCAGCCACAAGAGCTAAAACGCCAACCATTGCCTCCGTGGCCACTTTGGAAACGTTGGAAAGTCATTGGTTTTTATGGTTTCGTAAACAAACTGGGAAAGTTAGGTTCCTTCAACCGCTCAATTTTTTAGTCGTGTCGTTGGGGCAGAGCTGGCAGGCTTCGGAAGAGGTCTTCTTTAAGGGATGCTCCAGCTGAAGCTCAGCACGCTCCGCCCAAATCCACCGAGTCCCAATAGATACTCCGAAGCCAGCTGAGCCGTCAAGGCTCCGAAGGTAACAGTGTTTGGCGTAAGAAAAAGACCATACATTTGATACCTACGAATCTTCGATGTCGATCTCTCATTTACCTGAAACATCCTGGAACAATCACATTGTTGGCTTGGTACACAGCAACAATAGAAGCACCCAGCCGAGCCAAGCCGCTGTTCAACACTGGACATTTTAGCAGAGCAGTGACCAAACGAGTAGCATACGACTATAGTGTCCCCTGCCCTAGCTCTTGACGGATGCATATTGTTCTTCAATGAATTTCTGTCAAGAAAGCTGAACCTCGTGAAAAGCATTTGTACCCCCCGCGCCAAACAAAGCCTTCGACTTAAAGCATAGAAGGGCCTTACTGAAGAATCTACGTTCCCATCCGCTTCGTCCTCATAGTCCTGGAACCTAGAAGGACCCTGGGAACCTGTTCAAATTGATGTTCCTCTTGAAAGTGGAATTGCTCAGCTTCCGGAGGGAGGGTAGCTGCTCTAGACCGCGGTAGACCCTTTCGAAGGAATGTCTCGGCAAGCGCATAGCGATGAGCGAGGGCCAATGCCAAGGATGGTTTCACCTCAACCTTTCAAGAAAAGTTGTTCAAGGACCCCGCAATTTCGACTTCTGCAGTTGGGACTGTGAAGGTGGTGTATGCAGAGCTGTTGCTTTGCACACACAAACCAATTGAAATTGCTGGTGATGTTGGATGTTCGGGATGCTTGGGATGATAAGGCTGCACCAGCGCTCGAGCCTCTTAGAACCTCCTGTTAGACTGATGTTGATCGTTTGGAAGCCTAGTTTGGGTTAATGAACCCCTGGATGAAGACCATTTGTTTGGCAGCGTTTGGGATCCTAAGTGTTCACCACAGAAGCGAACCAGAACCAGCTTTTATTTTCCAATGGACCTACCGCTCTCAGTTTGATATACAGAATCCTCCCTTTGGATGCCTTCGGCGCCTTCTTTTTGGAAAAACGGGATCCACCACAAGGCATTCTAAAGATGAAAAAGCCAAATTACACCAGATCTTGAGTAGGGTTCTAACCTACCAGGTTTTATGGACGTGCTACCTGCAGCGAGATGGACCTTCTTTTCCATGCGACCGAACTTTCTTTCGATGCCGCGGGGACGGGCGGATTCCGTGACACGCATCGTTTGTGACGGCGCATCGTTTGTGACGGCCTGGAAGGTGAGGATATTAGGTGATGGGAGAACTGCAGCCAGTAGGCTGGTTCAGTTCGCTGATGACCAATCACTGACCACGTTGGGTAGATGCTGCAAAAGTACAGTCGGTGGAAAATGTCCTACTCAAGCCTATCTGGGAGATTCCATTGTAGCGGGGACCCCAACAAACCTTGCTTGGTTCGGTTGCACTTCCGCACGGGGTGGCAAGCGCTGTCCGCAGGAGCACAAGACATCCAAGTACAATCAGATGCTCTACGTGGCTGTGCTTAAAATTGGCTGAAGCTTGTCGCGCTTACATACATGATGTTGTGATATTATATATGGACTGTGAGCAAGAGAAGTGTGAATAACAGACGAATAAACGCACAAAGCTTGCTGCTTGTAAAACCTCAGCTGGTGACTAGGATTTGTTAGGCAGATTGAACAGAGACTTCGACGGCTCTACAAAGCGGGGGCCATAAAGATAATGACAGAATCAGTGATAGCTTGTTAACCTCTTGTACTTGGTCGCTTCTAAGCCTGTCGTTCCCAATCCGAAAGCAAGTAGCTTTTAGGCAAGGGATGCAAACCTGAGGGGGGCTCCCAAGATCTTTGGAGTTCCAGTAGACCCTCGTAGACAAACATTGAACCTGAAACTTGATAACAAGAAATGACAAAACATTGCAAAACTATATAATTTGTCCAGGAATCAGAAACCCCTGTCAAATCTAACGATATCCAGTTCGCAGTTCATGAGCAACAAGGAACATGTACACGGTGTACTCCGCATTTGGGGTCAGTCATTCGAGCAAGATCCCTAAACAAGGTGCGAAAGCCACGTTCAACTTGTTGCGGGACAGCGACGACAACACTCGCAAAAGATCACGAGCATGGCAGAATGCGGATTCTCATGCTGTGTGGTCGGACGCTGCAGTCAGAGTACCTTGCTGCAGGATCAACACTTGATTCACTTGATGTGGGGCGACGCTGTCTCCCAGCTTTCCTTCGTGCGTGAGAAAGGTCTTCAAGGCCAATGGTTGTGGCAGCCTACCACCATGTGAAGGCCAGTGGAATTTCAATAGTACATGGCACCATTTCATGAAGCCTATGCCCGATCTTTGAAGAAGCATCAGAAGGGCCAGTTTGGCATGCTGTGCTCGGCGCCGAGCCTCAAAGTTGCACACCACAGGGAGCTTGAAGAGCTCGAACCGACGGGCCGACAGGTGCTGCTCAACCTCCTCCCGTAGCAACCAGAACTCAAGCGAACTGAACACCTGGTGTTCTTCTCTCTTCGGAGCCTGTTGGAATTGGGATCCCAGGTTAGCTCACCAGGTTGAGAGTTGGATGAGTTGGGTAAGCCAAACTTCATGGATTTGTGGTATGTTGTGGCCACCCTTGATGTACGTGGCGCAGCGCAAATCAACTAAGGAACCAGAGTTTGCGTGACCATTGAGCCCTTTAGTTTTGTTGACTTCTGTAGAGGTCAGTTATTGGGCCGAAAGAGGTGTTTCTGGAGAAAACGGGTCGTGTGTTCAACCGCCAGCCAGATCGCGACGCCTCCGAACGTGGCTCAGGGTGTTCAGCATCCAAACACCTCGAGGAATTGGTCAGCAGAAAAAATAGAAAAAATACGGATTGGAGATGCTGGAAAACTTTGCCAAAGGCATCCAAAGGCCGGGCTGGTCTAGACACAGTGTCTCCCAATTGATCTACCACTGGAGTTTGACCGGATAATTGTTGTTTTTTTTCGCTTTCCATTGGAACACCCGTTGTGTACCTTGTGTTTGAAGCAGACAGGAGGTCGTTTTCCTCCTTTTTTTTCCATCGGTTTTTCCATGGATCCGAGGTGAATGGCAGCAGCTCGCTGGTCTCGGCGGCGACGTTGCTCGTCTCGGGTGGCTTCTTCCAGGTGCGGCGGTCGGGTGGTCGGGACGGTCGGGTGGTCGGGTGAGGTTGCCCCAGAGTCAGGGCAGTTGGCCACCAGGGAGAAGTCGGTGATTTTGAGAGAAGTATGCCCATTATGTGTATATAAATGTATATATATATATAGATATAGAGATATATGTTTAATTGGCCATTGATGTGAGTTTGCTGGTTCAGCGCGCAATGCAATCTAAGGGCACTATAGGGATTCCGTAGGATCTGGTAGAACCCCTTCGAATCCAAAGTGGGCACCTCTCGAAAGAGTCTCACCTCGCTGGGCAGAAGTTAGGATATCTCAGGCTTGAGAACACAAGATCTCCAGCGGTTTACCTCAAACCGGGTTCATGTCAACCGCTTCGTGGCTTTTCTTGGTTCATCTCTCTCGTGAGTAAGACACTCAGGTCAGTTCCGGGTGAGTTGGTGAGTTGTTGTTTGAAACGCTATTCACTTGATTCATGTTCACTTCATGTCCTGCACGCTGTTCCACTTCCTTGCGGCCCAGAGTCTTTCCAGAAAAGAACAAAACAGAGATCTGTCAAGCCGATCTTTGAGAACAATCCAAGAACCCACGGCAAAGAGTTAGAATGGGGAGAGGCATGACTAAAATCATGAAGTGGTGTTCTTCATATAGGTTAATCCAATGATCCTGCTACAATATGATCGCTCCTGCGATTCTGCCTGGTCACGTGTTGCTGGCAGTTAGGCACAACGACCCAAAGTGAAGCCCTTCATTGGCCCAACATGTGGCCAAGTTCAAGAAGAAAAGACACTAAATCAAGTTCATGTTTGCCTGAGTCGACAGTCAACGGTACTAAATATACTAAATCTCAATCTTCAGGTCATACATGTGTGTTGGAGTTTCCATTCATTAAGTACGGTGGCCGTTTAGTGCCAGCTATCTCCCAAAGCCTTCCCTTGTCACGAGGCAATGGGCTTCATTGGTAGGCGATGGGACTGAGTGTCGCACGGGCGCAGCCTGCGAGTCCCAGAAAGCCTTGATTTCCCGACATTCGATGTGTGTGTGTGTGCACGGGTTTGTGTGCCTACATCGGGGTGGTTTCAGGGGTCAATATGTCAGTGAGTAGTTCTAGTATAAAAAAGGGGCTTCGGACTGAGTCCCCAAGGGCACTCCGAACGTGGAAGCCTTGAGGGAAGACAGCGCGCCCCAAGAGACAGCACGGATGGCAAGTAGTGTAGGCCACCGGTTTAACCTTGAAGCTCATCTGGCCTGAGACTTCGGACCAACCACTGAAGAGTATACTGACTGGAAGTTTGCCGCAAGAAGAGCCTCTCATGGCGATGTTTTGTATATTGATGTTTTGTGGCGAAACATGATAGCAAAGCCCGGTGATGACCCACGCAGAGTCCTATGAAGGTGCTGGGAATCGATTATAGTAGGATGTGCCGTTTCTTTGTAGTCAAAGATTCTGCTGAGTCTCAGTCAAGAGTATGGATGTTCGGGAGGCCATTGAAGATATTGAAGTCCATGGAGTTCCCTCCTTTTCATGAGAGCTTAGATATGGGAGGCATCTAGACATGCTTAGATATGGGGCGAACACAGGAAATGGACAGAATGTAGCCTCATGTCACATGTCCTTCCCGGAAAGAGTGTATTTCGAGTATAATTATGCCCCACACCCCTTGTATTCCTAGATATTTCATAGCTCTCAGTTTGGCAAGGGATCAGGATGTTGCTGTGAAGTTGATGACTATTGCAATGGATTGCAAAAGAAGGAATACCCTCCCAGGTTCTGGAGATGGACGTCGTCGTGCGGTTCGCAGCCGTGCCACAGGCACCCCAACTTCATTTTCGATGCCTCCATCCTTTCCGCCTCGGCGGTCACCGGGCAGCCCGGACGCCCAGCCATCCAGGCACGGGCGAAGCCCGCGAGCTGTTGCCGCATCCAGCCGCTTCCTTTTTGATGGACCGCATGGAAAAAATGTGAAAAAATAAGAAACAAGATCAAGAGCCAAGCTGTTTTGCGCCAGCTAGAGCGGGAACATGTTACTGTACATGGGTTCAACAGAAGATTCTCTGAACTTTTTGGATGGTGTTTGAAACTGCAAGAGACGTCTGAGCTCTAGCCTTCAATCGGCACCACATGGGCCACATCAGGGCTCTAAGCAAAAAACAAGGTCAGACTCCCAAAAGGTATGGTCAGTTGGTGAATTCACTATTTTATCCCAAAGACGTCAGAGTAACATGACAATACTCGAAACCGTTCGCCCAAACTGGCCAGTGAAGCTCTTTCCCTGTGCTCAGCACTTTTGGGGGGGTGATGAACTTTCACCTAAGATCAACTGCCAATGACACCAGGCAGGTCTCTGCAAGAAGCCGAGATATACTGCGTGCACTTGCATCACTTCGGTTGAAGGGCCACCCAACATCACTTCGTCCACAGCGCAAGCGGCGTCGGATCCACATCTCCTCGATCCGCGTCGACCACCGATGCATTCCCAGTGAGTTCACCTTGTCGTGCCCTCACACGAAAAACGTGATCCTCCCCCAGTTGCAAAGGCCAGCAGCTGGCACATCAGATCCAGACAAAGAGTGAGAAGCCGGCAAACAGAGAATAGTTCCATGTGAATCCCTGCAGAACCACCTGGCTATACACAAGTGCCAACGGATTCTGCTTTGATCCCGACTGCAATGGTTTTCACAAGATCATCACACTCTTTCTTGGTGGGACTGAAACCTTTGCATTGTGCCTGCACTCTTGTCATGGAGTCTTGTCGCTGCAGCTGTTTGCTGTTAGCAGTACAGTCCTGAAATGTTGCAGACGTTATTGCATCACTTGTGCAGTGTATGTGCGTGTGGTTTGCATGTAAGATTGCAACATGTGATTCGTTCATAGATGCTCATGTCTCCTGTAAGGCATTTTGTTCGGAGAACTATTTTGAGTGCATGTCCACGTTTCATCAGGATGCATTTGGTTGAGTCTGGACCCAGTGATCATCCTCGGAAACTGCACGGAGGCAGTATGGCAGCCCTCAAAGGTGAGGGGGTGAGACTGCTGTTTGGAGGTTCCTAATCCTCCTTCTTCTCTGTCTCCTCTTACCTAGAGATCTGCAGGAATGTCCATCTTTGTGCCGTCTGTGTGCCGCATGGCTTTCGTGTTGTGCGAAAGTGCCTGTGCGGCCGAAAGCTGCGTGCGTCGTGTGTTCAAGCTGAAGCTTCACCCGGCAGAAAGATATGTGTTGGAACACAGCCAGTAGCATTACAATGAGTCAACCAAGCTTTGAGAAACTGCACAAACATGGGTCTTTGAAGAAGAGCACATTGTGCTTGAAAACGGGAAGCTGCATGCACCTGACAGGGAGAGGTTGGGATACAGATGTGGTTGCTCAACAATCATTTGTCGTATGGGAATGTCAGTGTGGGCATATATAAAGTGTGGAGTGCACAGAGCGTTGTGAGGTTGCTGTTTGAGAGCCGTCGTTTGAGTGGAATGTGGATGCTGGCCAACTGAGCAAATACACATTGGACAATTCTGTTGATTTTGTACCTGGAGTATCAAAAGGATTCTTGCCCAAACCACTTGTTCACGCCTGACCCGGGGGTTGTGCCATTGTTCCACACTGGGGTGCTGCTTTCACTCGTACAAGAGTTTTCTTTACAAAGGGTTCCTTTTGACCATCGTCAAGTCTCAGTTTTCTCGATGTCATGCGACTTGGGGTCTTGTTGGTTCCCCTTCAGCCGCATGCTGAGGTTTTTCATCTACTCCCTGGTGAAGGACTGGTTCATGCGCTGGTTCGGCTCACCTTTTGAATCCCAGTGGATCGAATCTCCATGACTCGAATCACTTTTGAAAGGTCAAAATCCCAGTTGTTTTGCGGCACAGAACGTGGCGGTCGTTCTTTGGTTCCATGTTCCTCTCGACCAGCTTGGGAGTGATGGTTTTGGCTTGATGCCCCATTTCAGGAGGTCCCCAGGAGACGGAGGTCAAGAAGAAAAGCCGGTCCCACGACCTCGTGGTTGGATCAACTATCCAAAATATGGCCATGTCCTATATGATCCTATTTGAGAACAGGCGCCTCAAAGAGGTTCTGCATGACCAAGAAAGTTTTTCCACTACCCGTGTGATCTCAGACTGGAGAGCTTCCATTTGTCTCTCATCCTTCCCGTTTGCTTCGGTGTCTTATATCTCGCTCGCACATGGCGAAGCAGACCTGCCAGAGTGTCTCCGCCGGCTGCAGAGAGCACCCAGGAGTTTGGAGCTCTGGTGCTGGCAGCAACCATGAATATGCGCCAGGTCTTATCGATCCTTACCTCCTACATCAAGCAGCTTGGCACAGCTCACAGCAACGTCAATACCCACCACCTGACCCAGTCCTCTGCGGTGGGAGGGGGTGCTTGAAAAACTGGGCACAGCAGGTGGCATCAAGTTCGGCAGAAAGATGAGTCTTCAAGGTTCGGCGACGGCCTCGTCGCCAAGCATGTGTCGGTGTTGACCATCTCTAGTTTCCCTTCAAAGACATGCAAGGACGCTACGCACGGTGGAGGCCATCGCTAGGTTGGAGGCCATCGCTACTAGAGGCAAATAGCTACTAGTAGATCTTTCATAAACAAAATGTCAAGCAGCTCAGGCTGCCTGGGAATCTAATGATGCCCAGATTCCCCCAAATCCAGAACCTTGCCTGGTTGATGCAACTGCTTAGTCTCTTCCATCCAAGCAATCGAATGTAACTGAGGTACTCTCATCCCATCAGCTTCCTTCAAATCCTGTCGCTTTGCGCCGTTTTCGCATCGCTCTTCTACAAGAGCTCCTCGGATCGGACATTGTGGGGAAGAACGCGCGCGCGAAATCTGGTCTGCGCGCGGAAGAGGAAGGTCTTGGAACTGGATGGTTGGCAGGCCACAAAAAAAGCTGGCTTGAACTCCTGAGAGGTGAATTACTGGCAGTAGATTTCTCGAGGAACTCGGTGTCGGGGGTACGGTTTCATTGAAAGGGAAGGCCAGTGGTTAGCATGGCGATGGGCACTTGGTTTGGATCCAATGGGCTATGGAAACCACGAAGACTGACGACCTTTGAATGAGCTCGTCTTTGATCCACTGGGCCTGTCCAAGGGATCCTGTCAATCCGGGCCAAGCAACCACCGGCTAAGAGGTCAGACACGATGGGGGTCCGGTTCGTGAACTTGCAGTCATTCCAGAGAGTCTTAAGAACTGAACCATGTCCAGAAAGGCTTAAGACTCCAAGCACCTGGGCCTTGAACTGGACACTACACTATCATGGAAGTGGACAAGCTCTTCTTGGTAGAGGAAAGTAGTCTTGCAAGGGGCCACTGTCCACTTCCATGATTGTTTCAGGGAGTGTAGGTTCTTCTGGCTTTCACTTGGGCACTGGACGGGACAAGTCGTGGAGCTCGTGGAGAGCCTAAGCTCTGGCTGTTTGGGCTCGGCTCAGTCGTGTGGGCGGAGGGCCGGGGTCTCGCATGGACGGCTCAGCGCTAGGTCGTTTCGGCCGGTGCACTGGCTTCGGCTGCACCGTTCACGCCGTTCGTTGGAGAAAGTAAAGGACTGTGGATTCCAGATAATAAAGGTTGTGGACGAGTACTAGTGCCTATGCACATCTTGATGTTGGTGGATGTTGGTGGATTGCCTTTAGCGGAGAGAATTGCCAAGATCGAATAGGCGCGATGCATGTGTCAAAGGGTTTTGGGTTCACAACTGTTGCATCTGACACCACCACACTGAGGTTACTTGAGCTACCTCAAGGGAAAGCAGCCCAAAGAACCGAAGACACCAGGCCAGGATCACGGGTTTTCGAAGATCGTTTGGGATGTTTGCGTGCACATGGACTTGAGCACAAGAATTTTGAGAACCCCTGAAAAGAATCTGGGTCTGTGCGTGGTCATTTCGAACACCCAAAGACACGGGCAGGAATCAGAAGACCTTCAAAGAATTTCATCTACATAGATTTGAGTGTATCCGTTTCATGAAAGCTCTTGCCTAAAGAGGTGCTATTCAGCGGCCAGAGGGTGCGCTATCAGGTCATAAACTTGATGCTGTTTTACGTCACCCTGGTTCCTGGAAAACCTAGAGTAAAGGCGTCGAGTGGAGGGTGTTGGTCCAACATTTGAGCATCTGACAAAATCTGTGTACACGAAAGTAGTCTGCGTGGAAGCTGCATCATTCATGAGTGCTAACCCATTCTAGGCGATGTCCTTAGGCTAGACACCAGATCCGGCGCTCATTGTATTTGATCTATTGGACAATTTTCTTGTTGGGTTTATGAGAAGGACTGAGAAGGACATGTTTTTGTTGATTGACAGTATTCGGACTGAGAAGCTTCTTCGGTTCTGTCCTGAGCTTGTTTGTCCGTCCAGCTGAGCTGGACTCATCACCTCTCTCGACTGGTCGACTCGTCACCCAAGCATGTCCGCTCTGAGAGTTGGTGAAGAAGAGTTGATGCTCCAAAGAGATTAGTTGGAGTCTCCATTCGAGATGATTTGAGATAGGAGCTGATATAAGATAACCCGACCCCTTACGGAACGGGTACGGAGCATCCATATGGTTGCATCACAAGAAGGTTTTGGTATGTTTTTTGTCATGCCCACCATGCACGGGACATTGTGCACAACTTGTGACTCTTTGTATGGGATCCACCGATGTGTGCATGTGTTCTGCATCTTCCAAA